GCGAACTTCACTGCAGGAAAAAATGATGCAGATTTGGGAGAGCGTTTGTATGTGCATTGAGGAGCATGTGCTGGTACACCCCCTCGATAGCCTTAACACGACTGCTGAGTCAAGTGCTGTTTGTGAGCCCCTGTGAAGGCCGAGACGGCACACAACCAGCCGACTTTGACTCCCCAGCGCTCAGGTTTAAACACAGCACTATTTATTTGAGGCTGAGTCTACCGAGGGGAGGGCCAGGACCGGTTCAGATTTTCAGAACCGTAAGTGGGTGGCCCGGGTTTGTCGCGCGCCGCGCTAAACCACTACACGACCACTCCCCGCATGTCTTTGTGTAATATGCGCATTTACAAGCTGACTTTGCATTGGGACATTTGCTTACGACTTTACAAAAGTCCGTCTACTCAATATCCAGCCACCCGTTTGATGTTTCTTTTGCTGACTTTCCACTTGAAGGAGTGTATCAGAGGGCAAGCGCTTCCTCAACCTCTTTCATTCCACGGATCGCTGTCAACCTTTATCTGCGTGGCCACACCGAACCGATACCTCGCTGTGGGTGAGTGAGCGGGTGGGATTGCGTTGCGAGAGAGAATTCACGGACCCCTTGCTGATGCTCATCTTATGGACAACAGGGAAATAAATTGGCGCGCTGCCAAACATCCGTGACGATAATTTGTCCAACTGTGTAACCGTGTTCGTGTCTGAGTGTCTCCATGTGTCTCTGTACCCCTGTGTCTGCGTGTAAGTGTATTCGTCTCCGTGTGTGTCTCCGTGTCCGTGAGTACGTCTGTGTGTATTCGTGTCTGTCTCTCTATGTCACTGTGTATGTGTGTCTCTGTGTTTGTCTGCGTGTGTGTCTTTGCATGCCTCTGTGTGTGGGGAGTGATAGTGGAGCTGTTAGCGTATTGTGATACGAACCCGGCGACCCGAGTTCGATTCCCGTCAACACCGCTGACGATTATCTGAACCGGTTCGGGGCATCCCCTAGGTCGACTCAACCTCAAATCAGTGCTTTGTGCGGTGTTTAAACATCGCCACTGGGGAGACAAAGGCGACCGGGCGTGGTGCTGGCCCACCCACCCCCTCGTGCGCCGTGCCGGCCTTCAGAGTTGCTCGCCAACAGCACTTGCCCCAACAGTCTGTTAAGACTATAGGGTGGATCTTTGTCTTTTTGTTGTCTGTGTCTCTCTCTGTGCCTCTGCACGTCTCTCCGTTTGTTTGCCCAATCGCCGCTTGCCCGACCGAATAAGTTGTGAGGGCCGGGGGCTGACGGTTAGTGCGATGTGGAGAGGTTTCAGCTTAGTTTAACACCACGTAGGCTTTCACGACCAATATCAGCCGAATAATCTAACCGTGTGATGTTGATTCCAAGGCCGTAGCCATGGAGTCAACATTGGGGGGACCAAATCTTCCAGGGTGTCTGGGGGTCCCAACCCAGAAAAATATCAAAATTTGCAAACTAATTTCCTGCCTAAAATATTAAAAAATGAACTAACACATGGGATGGACTTTTTTACAATAATGTCTAATAGTGTATTGTATTATATTGCTCTGTTTTTACTTTTTTTTACCATTTCTTGTCTCATTGTATGTAATGGCAGAGATTATGGATTAATAAAGTGCAACAATAACCACAATCATATTGATTTATATGAAGACAAGTCCAGATCTTGTGGCCAAGGTTAAGAAAATTGTTGTTTTTATTTACATAGCATAGCAAACATTTTTTATAGCAATATATTGGGGGGGGGGGGGACATTTGGAGCATATTTGGGGATGTGTCCCCCCCAATATATTATAATTACGGCTTTGGTTGATTCTAAATGTGGAGGGAAAAACCGAAAAACCCGGAGAAAAATCCACGCTAATCACGGGGAGAGAGACGCGCAAACTCCAAATACACAGCAGGCATCAGGGCTGGGATCAAAACCACGACCTCCTGTACACCAGGCGATGTAGTCAATATCTAGCGGTGTACCACAGTGGCAAGATGGTTAAGAGGACTCCCAATGGCCATGTCAGAGCCTCAGGTCAGCACGACTGAGAACCTGGGTTTTCAACCGGTGATGCAACCTCAAAAGAAACCAAGGCATAGAATGTAACTACTGGAGCTTAGGTCTCCCAGGTAAAAATATAAACAGGCGACTGGTGTACAAACCTCTTTTGTTAATCAAATGATGGATGATAAGGGTTGTTTGTCCATACTTCACTACCCTGGTCAGTGTAAGTCGGTGAAGGCGGAGATCACAGACATGTAAGTAAAGAAGTAGGGTACAATCATGGATTTTGTCGCACGGCCATCTGCGACTGACCCCATCCAAACTCTAACCAGACTCAGTCCTTCTTAGCTCTCGAGATTTGACAAGACGGGGTACATTTCTGCTGATTTGGTCATCAGAAATTCATTAATCAAGCCATGAAGTTAGCTTCCAATTGAACGCCACATTTCCCTGGCTCTGATCGCTTATTTCACAAAATGCATCGAAATTAAGCCCTTTATTTATCCAGCATTGGGCTAAGCAAACTCATCGACTTCATAGCGTGTGTTCAGCCTTAAGGCTTTGATAGAAGGATCAATGAAAGATGAATCCTTAAAAACTGGAATATCATGCATCGAGTTTAGGACTCGGCACACGCTTGAACGCAGTGGCCATAAAACGAAAGACGACTCAACCATCGTTTTAAATAACCGAGTTTAACAATGCTGCCATCTACAGCTCAGTGTGGCAATAGGTAATGCCCTAACTTGGAACACAACATTCATTTGGTGACGCCGCGTTGGCAAGGTTGGCTGCGTACGGTGCGAAAGAAGTTCAACATACATAATACATACAGTGGTGCACAAGGATAAATAACAAAGCAACTCAGCACCACACTAACACTGAACTACTAAAAGGAATAATATATAATAGGCGAGGACATGGACATTTACCGTTGTCTGAAATCTCGTGTTTTTTTTTTGGGGCGGACGTGTTATTGATGAATGTGTTAATTTATTTACAGTATTTGCTGTGATACGGAAGTGCACCGAGGAATACGATAGGAATGAGCTATTTACGTATTAAATAATTACTGTTCACTTATACTTTGAGGGGTGCAGGATTGCGTGCCCCCCACGCCAACAATAACTCAGCGTGGTCGAGGTGTTTTGACTGCTTTAGTCGGGTAGACTAAGAATGCCAAAATTAAATCCAGAGACGTATGTCTTGGCTAAACAAAAAAATACTCAAATAAAAATGCTTACTGATATGGACACTGTATACAAGTGTAATGACTTGACACACTTCTCTTGAGATGGCACTTTGTTGAAGACACGTCCACTTGACATCAGGCGGAGACCTCCACTGCAACAGCCCCGAGTCTCCCGCGCACCTCCCTTTTATATACCAACACGAGGCCACACCCCCCTTCTCGAACCTTCTCGCTGACTCTAGACGCTCACTCCATCGGCAGACTCCGTCCCCTTCCGTCGCCTGACCACGCTCCCTTCTCGATCATTGCCGTAACCACCAGTCCCTTCGCACTCACAGCTGATTCCTCTCATTACCGCAAGGTGCATTTGCACTGCAAGCCGACTCCCGTCATTACCTCCCGTGGCCACTAGTCCACTCACACCGCATGCAGGCTCTATTGGCATTACACAAGGAAGCTAATGTCAAACCATTCCGCATGCATTGAAAAGTTTAAGACTGCAGGTTATACCTCGCCACCAGACACGAGCGTGCCACGTTTGACCACTCCGAAAATTCGTCTCCGGCCAAATGTTTCACAAAGTGTCCATAGGTTTAGCGCGATGCGATTGAGCCAAGATTGAATTTCTCCTGACCCGGTTGCTCACTTTATACACGACACCCACATTACCACTTTTACCATTCCGATCTTAATGCCAACACGCACCATCAATGGTTTATCAAGAGTACTGAGCGTTGTCTTTGGCATCAACGTTGATGATTGACAACAGCAGCAGTGTGTTCATGTCCGTCTGGAGGGTACGTGTTGTGCAAACCTTCTGCGGTGAACCGAGTGACACAGCGATGATGAGCAGTCAGGGCGTTGTGCAAACCTTTATCAATCTTGCATTCCACAAGTCGGTGTGCGTGCGTGGGTTGATAGTTGGGCAACTTAAAAAAATGCATTCACATTTAAAATTATAGCACTCTCGATAACACTGCAATCGTATTTCAATTAAGTGTAGTAGCATGTGTTAAGAGCTTACCCCCGAGCACTGCAGTGAAGCAGATCTAAAGTCTTCTTCTGCGCAGCATCTGTAACTTGATAATACAGACCCCTCTGGTCGAGTGTCCTCATGGGCATTCCGATTTGTCAACCAGCACCATTTATTTAGACCAGTCTGGAAGGCTGACAGGCTGATTGACTGCAGTATATGATTGATTATTTTTGATGTGCACATGGAAGTGAAGGTTATTACCCAGAACAATAAACTGCAGTGCTCTGGTGGTTTTACACATTATATTTTCATGCAGATGGACCATGTGGTGTAGAGGACAATTAACATCGGATAAACCATCAGTGTGTACTTTGCATGTCGGGCTCTGAGCACTAGAGCAAAAAAAACTGATCCATCGTTTACACAATTAAATAAAAGCTGATTAACACGTGCGAAAGGCCAAAAGTATTAAGACTAAATATTTTTTTGTGTCGATACAGAAGGTTGACTTTCAGAGCATATGCTGTATAAAAACCACTCGCACCAAACACGAGTGATGTGAAGCCAGTTATGACTTCCTCCTAATGATGTTGAAATTAGTTATTCCATTCAATGCACTTACCGTAAGCATTTAACAATGGGGTTTCCCTGATACTGCATAAAACGTCGACATTTCCAGCCGCCTTACTACGTTGGTTGAAGACCTCTGCCAAGGATTTTCTTGCCGTTTCCCATCTCACAACAGTGTTTCTGTTCTCAGAACGAACTTACATTTAAACAAGGAATTGTTTGTTTTGATACATTTATATCAAAAGTACACCGTGTGAAAGCAAAATAATTTGCAACGGATTTTATTTTATTGTAAATCAACCCAACAAAACCTCTTTGTGAAAATAAAACACTCCTGTACAAAACAAAACAGCAGACCAACCCCGAATGGCACAATGCAGGGCTAGAGAGGAAATGCTTTAGTTCCCTACCAACATCCAACACTGGCATTTTCATCACAAGTCAAGAATTGACACCCTACCCTTCACAAATTAAGTTTTAAATGCCAACATTGGTGGTTTGCCAATGGCGATTTTATCAACTACAGATGAGAAGGAATATATATTTCAGCGCATTATGCAACAACCTCTTTTACGTGCTAAATACAAATGCTTTTTCAGTTCAGCCAAGTGCTACATTCGTTTACATTAGCATGTTCAGATACTTTATTTCAATGTCCAACAAGTTTTAGAGTGCGCAAACTATGCACACTATTATATATTTTAGTATGAATCACAATTGATAATTTGGATGATGGCACAATGATCTGGCCAAACCAAATGTGTCATTAGGGGATCCTCCTTTGTTTGGATGTGACGGGTGGTGGAGGGTATTAATGACAAATGTGGCCAGCATTGTGGCCCAACCCGAAAATCAATTAGTGACAAGTACACAGCAAGCTTATGCGAGGATATTTCAGAATATCCGCGCAACAAAGTTGTCAGATAAATAATTAATATGCATGCCACTCTATCTGGCTATGACATGTGTTTGCATGTGGCTCAATAGATCTTGTCAGAGTAGCAAAGCAAGAATCTCATTATACATCAAAATTCCAAATCACAATGAGCATAACACATAAGGATACGTGTAATTGATGTTCAATGAAATCAGCAGTCAAAACCCAGATTTTCTGTACTTAAAGAGAACTTTCAGTGAAACAAGCTAAGATGTTCTAAACATGAGCTAATAATATTTGGTTGTAAGCCAAAGAACGGACTGATTAATTATCGAATGCCAAAACGACACCATTTGGAAAGTCCATATCTCAATGTGTGGGCAACCCGAATGCACCACAGATTTTGAGATTAATTCTGGCCTTGCTACCAACCTAATTTGTAGTCGAGGGGTAAGGAAAGGGTGCAGCCAGAGTGGTGCTGTGCTCATTTTTTAGCTGCGGCCAGTCTCTCGGCCACATTTGTCCAGTTGACCACGTTCCAGATGGCCTTGAGGTAGTCGGGCCGCACGTTCTTATACTGCAGGTAGTAGGCATGCTCCCACACATCAATGCCCAGCAGTGGAATTAAACCTGCAAAAGAAATATGATAGGGAGAATAGTTTTCAAAAAGGTTTGCCCTGATTATATTCTTCTTCTGCCCAGTGCAATGTCATGAAACAAAGAAACTGACATTTGGAATCCTTCGAGCAAGCAGTGCAGCACCGTATCAAAGGGCTCCCTTGGAAGATATCGTCAGAGAGCTAATATATTGGTCGCTTGAGTCGGTCTATTAGTCCACACGCGAAGTGCACCTTTTATATTACCTGCATTGAGTGTTCGTCCCATGTGTTCAACCTGAATGTGTTATCCCTGGAGGTAGAATAATCAAAATCTAGTGGAAAAACTAAATTTATGAAGATATTCATTTTGCTTGAATACCAATTTGCAACTTATGATTAAAAGTTAAATGCCAAGACGGAGTGATGAGTTCAGTTTGTGGGCTGGAGACAGATGATTTATTGGATTGTAAGTCCAAGAGATGGAGACGGAATGGGGAGGCACTAATCAATTCACAGTTGACAATGCGCTTCCTGCCAAGCTTCAGCGTGCACATGCACAGCAATACCTGTTGTGGCCTGCAGAGGGTCTTGGTTGGCACACGCAGCGATTCGAAGCCTCCCGGTTTCCTTATCGTAGCCCAGCCAGCCCCATCCAGAGCCCTGCACGAAACAAAGGAAATCAAGCTGCTCCCTAAATACCTACACGTTGAGAGCCACCTACTATGCTCACTTTATGTTATGATGCAAAGATGTTTGAGGGTTTTAGTTTATGGTTTTGCGTAGATGCTCATGCAGCGACTCCCTGGCCCACCTGCACTGCGACAGACACCGCGCTCATCTTTTCCTGAAGTTTCGTGAATGACCCAAAATCCGTCTCAATTGCCTTCTGCAAATCACCTGAAAAAAAAAACAGGTTATTACAAGAGTAGGCTAGCAGGTGTCAGTGTCTCATCATAATTTCAAAATTACCCTGTAAATGACTGACCCTAAATACAGCATGGACCATCTGCACAGAACATTACTTTCAAAATGCTTTGTGGAGATCAACAATGCTGCAATATAGCAGACAAGACTACTTGTCTGCTAAATGTATGACTAAAGCACCAGCTAGTTGTGATGTGGATAAAGGTGATTATTTTCGACGAAGATTATATGAATTAACTGAAACAAGTACCATACCAGTGGGTGCTCCACCACCATTGGGCGAGAGGTTGGTCCAGAAGATGGAGTGGTTAATGTGGCCACCACCATTGAACTTGATGGCAGGCTGGAGTGCAATCTCTGCAGTGACATCACCTGGAGCCAGAGACCCACAAAATGTCTTGTTTTCAGAGCAACCCAACACAACCAACCAATCAAGCATCCCCGTATGCCACAATTAGACAATCGGCAGGTAACATGGGGCGAGGTATGGTGTGGGAAGTCCTAACACTTCTTAGACATATGGCCAGTGTAGAAGAGTGGGTCAAAATTACCTCGAGTGGAGAACCTTCCACCAGCAGTGGAGTGAGCAAGCAATTTACTGTAGTCAATCTTTTAGAGGCAATACGGTTTGCTACAACCGAACGTGCAACAAGCTGCGTATACCTTTAGCCACGGCCTCTGCTAGCTTCTGTTCGGCCACGTTGAGGTTGTTGACGTACGTGGCGTGATGCTTGCTGTGATGCAGCTGCATTATGTTGGCGCTGATGTGGGGCTCCAGCGCCCCGTAGTCATAGGGGAGGTCTGGCAGCGTGTGCAGGGCAGCCCGGCTCTTGTGGGTGGCCACCGGGGCCAGAAGCGCAGGCCTGAGGGCAACCCTAAGGCCCTCTGACCTGCATTCGCAATGAGTGATATTTCAGGGAATGCGCTGGTGGTGGTGCAACGCCACAGCTCAAAGTACTTTACACCACTGCTATCACTCACTATGGTTTTCATAATACGAGAAAATAACCGAATTATGACTAATTAAATGAATAGCTTTAATCTAATTAAAAGGTCTCTCCAATGGGTAACCCTGCTTGGCATGGGCAGGTTGCTGGCAACAACGGTGGCTAAAGGCCACCACCACCACCCCTCTGCAATCCCACTTCAACTTGCAATACCAATCCAAGCATTGCGCCGGCTATCCACTCCTCGCCGATCGCACGCAAACAAGAGCCGCCATTTCATGAAGAGTTCAGGTGACATCCCCATGGCATTTGTACCAGGCCAGGTGCAGCTTTGAGGCCATGTGAAGTGCCGAAGACACCAGGTGGCCTGTCATGAGGCAAATCATTCCCATTTCTGGCAGCGCATTGCGGAGAGCCCGCGCAAGCGGCTAGGACAGGCGAATAATATAAATAATAACCAGTGCACCAACACATACCCTTCACAAACACGTGACACGGACACACACACGGCACTGGGTCAGTAGCGCCACTGCCCACGTACAATGCCGTCGTCAATCCACTGCTGGACTACGTTGGGGCGAGTCGTGGCAGTCAACCATACTTCACCTCGCTGGTCCAATGAAGGCAATCATTGACGTGGGAGCACAGAACGCACAATACAACAACCGATGTTGATGCACTTGCCTATAGTACCACCTGATAACAGCTATACAGGCGCAAAACCTGCTCAGCACCCGAGCGCTGGTATATCCCACGCGATTCGATCTCTTAGGCATCGCCGAGATTACAATGTCATTCTGATTTATAGGTCTAAACGCCATCAAAGCACTTTAAAAATGCACGCAAAGAAGGCACTGTATTTCCTAACGACGATAAATTAAAAACTTAATCGCGCGCAATGTACTCTATAAAGTGTGTACCATTAGTCCCAATAGCGGCCTATAACTATCACCACCACCGCGCGCAGCAAGAAAACAACTTTCTCCTGTAACGACGCCAAAACCGAGCGACTTTGCCAAGCAAAAAGACAAACCTGCACACGGACAGGACCCTCACAAACATGTCCTCGGGATTTACGACGCGCAACCTGTACAAATGTTTAAGTTTTAAGCGAAAATTTACGCTGCTACGCAAACACAAATACGGAGGGTCAAACGCCCTTGAGTTAGACGAGTCCAACGCTGCACGCTGGATGGGGGGGGGTAATTTATTTATATTCTTGAGGCGATTTTATAAAGTGTAACACGACAATTGAAAGCGCGCAATTTTTTCTAATCGCTATTTGTGAAAATTTGCCAACAAGTTGTACCTTGCCTAACGTTTGACGAGTAAATAAGTTGAATAATTGGCTCTGGTTGCGTTCGGCACGTTTTGGAATGTTCCATGTTGACACTCGTCTGGGGGGGTGGAGTGGTTAATAAAGAATTAAAGTTTTCGTGACCGCATACATTACTCATTGGTTTTTTTTCAGTAAAGTCACGTATGTAGAAATACCATAAAATTATATTAAAATAAATCAATCACGACGTTTCGACCGCAACACAAGCGATCTTCATCAGGTGTAAAAAAACAAAACAAATAGCACATAGGGTGACATCAACGCAACACAGAGGGCGTTAAACTTTAACACTTCTGAAATTCGTGGTCCGCCAGGCAAGTGTCTGTGTTGTTGGCCTGACTGGTTTTGCATCACGTATACATTTTTCTTAATTTTTTTTTAATTCTCGTCTCTCATCTTCTTGTTGTATTTACCCCCGTGCAGTTTAACGCTCTCTATGTGTTGCGTTGATGTCACCCTATGTGCTATTTTTTTTTTACACCTGATGAAGATCAATTCTAGATTTAAAGCTTTCGTGACTGCTAGGATCCATACTCTTTGGTTCTATTGGGTAAAGTCACGTAGGTAAAACAATAATATCGCTTGTGTTGCGGTCGAAACGTCGTGATTGATTTACTTTAATATAATTTTATGGTATTTCTACATACGTGACTTTACCGAAAAAAAACCAATGAGGGTGGGAGTGGCGATTTGCATCTCTCACGTTTGTGCTGGAGTCACGTGTTCTGGTTTAAAGACCTCCTCATTGACTACGATGGTGAGCCCTGTCTGTGTCCCGCGCGTGACGTCACTCCACGTCGGCCAGCCCTCCTCATTAATATTCATGAACAGGTGACGTCCTCCACATAGACCCCCCCCCCTCATGAATAATCATTAGCGAGTGACGTCACCCCACATCGAACAGCCCCCTCATTAATAATCATGATAAGGTGACGTCTTCTAAATGAACACCCCCACCACCACCACTGTTTTTTTCGGTAAAGTCACGTAGAAATAAGAAATAATAAAATTACATAATGGCGTACGACGTTTCGATTGCAACACAAGCAATCATCATCGGGTACAGAAGAGCTAAATTTAAGAGAGAGAGGACACACATAACCGCAGATATATAGACGGAGGAGCACACTAAATCAATCAGGGTTTAGCAAAATTTGGAAACCATATAAAGCAACACAGACGGTCGGTCAAAACACAATTAACGCATGGTCTGGTTGATTACGCTATTTCAAAGATTGTTAAATTGCAAGTTAAGTGTGAAATTTAAGAGAGCGATAGAATACAGACCGCATGCACATATATAGAAGACATCCAAGCAGAACGAGTTAGCACATGGGCACACGAGAAGGGACACGCACACAGTGAAGCAGCATCTCTGTGTCGAGGCCTTAAATTGACAGAGACTGAGAGACACTGGGACACAAATTAGCATGCAACATTAGCACATACTCGTCAAAGGACGGCGCGGGTGGATGACACTAGTTGTCAAGCACATAGGGAGCTGCGGAGGACACAAACCCAAGCCAAGACACAAAGGTCGACACACCAGCCAAAGACAACACAAAGACACAGACTTCATACCTCCCCGTAGAGGTGGTTCAAATTCTTGATTTGACGCTTTCGTGACAGCAGGAATTACTCTTTCTACGCGACTTTACCGAAAAAAAAAACAAAGTAATTAATTCCTGCAGTCACGAAAACGTCAAATCAAGTTTGAACCCCCTTTCATTAATATTAATTAGCGGGTGACGTCACTCCTCGGCGTCAACTCACAACCCTTACTACGTCACGCGATCTCCGTAACGCCGCCACTTAAAACCCCAATTTCTTAGCTGGGTTGGCAACTCAAACGGCCACACTGGCTGCCTAGAACAGACGTGGGCAAAGTACGGCCCGTTGGGCTTTTTAATCCGGCCCGCCGAACTTGTCCAAATATTATTATTATTAAATTAAATTTTACCTTTCTCTTGTAATGCCCCCATTTCCCCATTAGATGGCGCACTTTGACCGGGAGTTACGAAATGTTTTTGTATTGTTTATGTTCGTGCAATTTGTTAAATTGCCTTGCAAATAAATGCTTTGCTACCTGCTAAAGGCCAACTCTTTTAATGTAATGATTTTTACATGTCATTTATATTAGTTCACGCAAACACTCCATCCATCTGTTCCTGGCCCGGCCCCTCCGTCAAATTTTAGAACCCATTGTGGCCCGCGAGTCAAAAAATTTGCCCACCACCCCTGGCCTAGAATCACAGAAGGCAGTGCAGCAAGTCACTTTTTGACATGGAGTGTTCATGTGTCATTATACATATAGTTTGTGGATCTTTACCTAACGCCTGACACCGTAGGCTGTGTAACGCTGGGTAGGCTACGTGGATTTTACATGTTTGTGTCTTTCACAAACGGCTTATTGTAATTGACTAATTCGTGTGTTACAAGAGTAATACATTTTCTCCAAAAATCACACGTACAAGGAAAACTTTTGGGAGATGATCGCCAATTTACACCAAATGTGATAGTTTTTTTTAATTAAATAAATTCAATGCATTTAAAAAATGGTCTTATTCAATTGTATGAACCCGTCATATGACGCGAAATAACATGAATAGTTTACACAGCCCATGTAAACGCATTGCTGGATGAAGGCCTCTCTCCACGCAACGTTGTTTGTCCAAACCTCCCCAGGCTGCCGAGAAAAGGTTGGTGACGAGGGCCCAGGACAACTTCACACTTCGCTCGCCACCGACGCGAACCTTGCCCAGACTCGAACCTCAGGTGGCCCAAGTTTAAAGTTGAAGCGTGCAAACCACTGCTGCGCCTTACTGAAAACCACACATTATGATTACTGGATATATCTGGTGTTTTCTTTGGGCACGCCTGTTTTCACCCACGTAGCAAAATTAGTCACCGATAGTCACAGTAATGGCCACACCTTTCATAGCAGGAGCCTTCTGAAGTGGTTCTCTCTCACACATTTTCAGAGGGGTGCCACTTTCGCCGAGAAGACATCATCATTGAGAGGGCCGCTACACATTTGAAACCATCTGGGTTGACAGCAGCAGCACGATGATGGGGGGGGGGGAGGGGAGGGTCTCCACATTTATGGATTGTCGGGGGCCCGCACGTCAGGGGCCGCACTAAAGGCCACCAGTGGTCCACCAGCGGCCTGCGGGACCTTGCAATGAAGAACACGGATCCTGTAAAAAAGTCTTGAGACCCGGAGGCTTTCTTGGGTGTTTTGAGACCGAGGACAGCTGCCCACGACGCTGGGTTTCTCAAGTGTACCGAGTTTTTGCCGGGTCATTCTGGTCAGCGATGAGGATTGCATACAAATAAGCATACCAATTATTTTTGCAATTTGGTGCAATTCCGCCTCTGATCATTATAATTAAACACATTGGTTTGACCGTCACGTGATGGTTGTGTAGGGAAATCGTAGTTCTGTGAACTGATATCCATTCAGAACGAACAGACTTCAATTGGGAGGAACGGTAAGAAAATCAGTGTATAAATGTACCACAAAGACAAATCATTTCATTGCATCATTTATTAACACTTACATTAGCATCACATATTTCTAAGTTTCCCTACAAAACACCCTACAAATACAGCATTCATTAATCCTTCGGCATCATTTACATAGCACGCTGATGCAATTCAAGTGATTCTTCAGTGCTATTTGTTTTATATGTACATATTATGGCACACACACATCAATATCTCATTGAATCAAGAGCACTTCTAAAAAACGTGTGTATTTACCATTACAGCAATCTAGTTAATTTTAAATAATTTTCAATACTAATATCAATATCGGACGTGCGTTTTCATAGAGAGATACGTTTGTGAAATCATAAAATTTGGCACTGCTCTGAAGCGTTGCTGCCTTGATGCTTAATTGGAAATAATGTTGTCACAACCATACAATATGACTTTAATTCTGGAAGAGTACTCCGACATCTGTGGACTCAATGCCATACGCAATACATGCCACCGCTTTTATACAGTAACATCCACCACAATACCCGGCGATTCAAGTCGTGATGTGGTCGTGACGAAAGAAAACTTTTTTTATCCAATTGTTACCATGTCGCACGTATTTCCTTGTTTTAATTGGCCAAAGTGTACGATTATATTGTATAGATTACAATACATGCAATATCGGTATGTAGATTGCATGTATCAAGAGCACAAGAATCGAATAAAATCTACGAATCGGCACATTGTTTGCTTATGGGATACACATACACAGCACTTGGAGCCCCCAAAGTTTACATGACTGGTTGTGCACTGTTGAGTGACATGGGACAGGGATCAATCGCGGGAATATCATATCACCTGCTTCATAATAACTCACGAGACGGCACAACAGAATCTATTCACATTTAAATGGATTTCAGACCGAAACATTACAATGGTATCCCCTTTCAGCCACCGGCAGGCGTGGACCATGACCCAATAGGGATGCTGCCGTTGTTGCGATGGTTAGTACAATGGACTTGCAAATCCAGACTCCATCGGTTTGATGTACCAGCACGGCACTGGAAGCGACACACGAGTGTATTCAATTCCACCCCCACCGCCTCTGTCCATCCAGAAGTCGATCGATGGTTATACCACAGTCGATCGGCAAGCTGCAAGCAGTGGGGTAAAGTGTGGGTAATTCCACCTGTTCAAAGGCCCCAGTAAACTCGAGTGGAGGCACTTATGCCAGCAGTGGCGTGATAAATAATTGCAGGGCTGTACCTTTTCCTAAACGACGTCCGAGCGCACACTCCACTTCCAGGTGTTGTAGCTTGCCGTTGTCAGGTGTTGTCAATACGATGAATAATACTGGTAGGAACGAAGTGGTAAACTGAGTGTACCAGCCTGCAATAGATTAATGTGTCCGTCCGTCCGTCCGTCCCCCCCCCCCCCTTTCAATACTTTAACGAAGTGAAATCTCGTGCTGTTGGGTGTAAAATCAGCAATAGACAGCGCAGAGACTTGTCCTACCAGCCCACCCTGCAGGGACCTGTTTTTATTGAAATATGGAAATATACCTCGAGCGTGAATTGCACTGGGTTGCTTCGGCCACACCGGATATGGAATCACGAGAAAACCCAGTTTAGCCATCGGGGCGCATATTAGGAGTGGAAAGAAACACAAGCAACCGGTACACGGCACCTTGCATCTGAACCAGGGCTTGCCCCCCCCCCACCACCATCACTTCCCTCCCCAAAATGTCACGGGGTTTGGGAGGGGGCATGGAAAATATTCCATGAGAATAGAAGCCCTGATCTGGAGTCCTGTGAATGCAAGTCAAACACGCACCCTTCCAACATACGTAACATACCCTCGCATCGTGGCGAATCGAGACTGCTTAAGCAAGAGCAACACACGGTTACTGGCAGGAAGACGCAATGTGCAGAGTGCAAAAACACTGGATTAGAGACATTGCCAGATCACTGTGCTATGACAAAAACAGGACTGCGATTAGCTCGCACGCACGGTGCGAAAGAAGTTCAACGTACATGCACGACCGCAAACCGTGGTTTGCGGTCGTGCATGTACGTTGTGGTACACTTGATGCAGACCAAGGTGGTACAACGAATGGCAACAAGTAATTATTTATATCCATACATTTCGATGGTACCCCTCTTAAGGAATATTTCAGTCCGCTTTCAAGAGATGTGCTTATTTCGCCGTCACGGAAAACAGCATCACACTTTAACCCCCTTTCCATATTTATTCTAGAGACACGTGTTCGGAACGTGATTATCTGGATGGCGCAAAAGAGGCAACGATGGCTGGAACACCCAGCGTCGAAACCACGCCCGTCTATATTTACATCAATTACCTAGGCTCGAGGGTTGGCAATCGAAATAACAGGGGCCATTTTATTTCTTAAGAATTGGGTAAAAAAAAAACCGCAAATATTTAAAGAGCCGCAATACGAGTGAATAACGTCACAAAGCAGCAGTCCTTCAAGAGCCACCGCATGCGGCTATGGGGCTGCAAGTTGCCGACCCCTGACCTAGGCAAACACATTTCAAATCGCACAATAGTCTCATCTACCTTCCATTCCAGAACAGACGTCCATCCATTTAATCACACCCGTGTGTAACGGGTGTGCAAAGGTCTGTGAAAAAAAATTAACGCTCGCAGCAACGAAATGTTGGAGTCACAGTGAAAAGCAAGCGTGCCGATTTAAAAGTTCAAAGCGGACTCCATTTGCGATATGCCTAAACCGTGGCAATTATGAAACTTTGGCACAAAACCGATTCTCGGGCAACTCTGTGGAATGAGAGAAATTTCGTATTTTTTCAGTGATGCTTCATGTCCACAAGCAGTCCTCGCCTCAGATCGACAGTGATGATCGAGGGTCACAACTTCGGCATAAATTAAAGGGCTGCCGAAGTAATAGTAGACTTTACAAAACGTTTAAATAACAAGAGCTAAAATAAAATAACATTTTTTTTAAGTAAGACAAACCGTGTCGATGAGCTAGTTTTTAAATGACGTGTCAAAAAAGGAAGACTCGAATACTGAATTTTCTGTGAAAACATTTGACACTTTCACGTCCAATTCCAATTTCATTCCTAGGCCCACAATGCACGTTTACACATTGTTGTGTTTAGTTTGTTGTCCTTTCCCCGCACTTCCGATTAGCACGGTTGGCTACGTACGGTGAGAAAGAAGTTCAACATGCATACGTCTCTACAGAGACTGAATTTTTAATTTAAGCAATGCAGTTCAGTTCCACATGATAGGAGTGCATCGGTAGTATTTGACAGTTTGTGAAATGTGATCGATACTGTGTGACTGCAACACTGCCACCTCAGAAAGTAAGGTGTACAGTACAGTACTCTACTTAAAGTAGCATTTTCAAGACTCCAGGATTGCTAACATGATCAATATAATTGGTTATATCCTTATTAATTCCAATTTCCTTGCCGTTACTAGCCATTAGACTTCACAATCTTCTTCCCTCAGTTGCGTACGCCTGTACAAACACACACAAACACACACAAACGCACGGGATTCAGCTGTCGCCATCACGGCGGAGCCATCTTGTGTCAAGGCACTTTGTTTCGATTTAAAGCTTTCGTGACTGCAAGGATTCATCTTCTTTGGTTCTTTCGGTAAAGTCACGTAGAATGAGAATAAAATAATAAATTGATAAAATAAAATAACACAATAATATTCTCACGACGTTTCGGCCACAACAAGGCCGCTTGTGTTGTGGCCGAAACGTCGTGAGAATATTATTGTGTTATTTTATTTTATCAATTTATTATTTTATTCTCATTCTACGTGACTTTACCGAAAGAACCAAAGAAGAAGGCACTTTGTGTTTTAGGAAGTTACATTTTCTCACAAGGCTCGGAGAGACATCATCACACGTGTAGGAAATGATTATTTCAACATACAAGTGCGTACCAATTGCACAAGAGGAACTCGTGTTTTAGAACTGTATTTCGTTCGTAACGGCAGTAAAAGCTCCGAGATGTATATGGGTTTAAATATATTACTTAACAAAGTATTGGAACACCGGCACAATCGTGGGCAATTATTCAACATGTAACCCTTAGTGTAGCACCGTCGATTCAAGACGCCAGTGTGCAGCTCATGACACACGTTGTCGCAAAACTTTAAGCAACTCAAAAACCCAAGTTCCTCTTTGCCGTGCCCCGGGACAGTCAATGGTTACAAGGAAATGTGTCTGCCTAAAGTGAGTAACAGAGGAGAAAAACACAGCCGACACAGAGGAGCGAAGATGACAGTCGTAAGGGGGTGTTGTGTGTTGCGTGTGTGTGTAAATCATTTCCCTCGTGCATGACACATACCCATACAAGGCTCTGGAGAGAGGGCAACACTTTGTACCCAGTACAAGGCATGTTACCCAGCAAACGTGCAACGTTGAGTCAACGTTGCAAGCTTGCTGGCCAAGCGGACACAACAGTGGTAAGGGGCGTAGGGGTTAGGCAAGAGCGGGAGAGAACGCACATTCGCAGCAAGCAATAGCAGCCGAAGGCCAAGCCAGCGGGCGACCGTTTCCTTATTTGTATTTATACAAACATCGCACACAGGGTCATCATCCATACATGTATCATCCACAATTAAAGAATTATAATGCGACACCACTGTGGGACGGTTTTCATGAGCGACATCTTCAATGAGGAACCGAGCTGGCAATTCACTGCAATTTGCGGCCTGTATTTGTTTCGGGAACAATCGATGTTGTGCCGCATATTTACGCCGGTTTTAATCACTGTCGGATTGGTCAATACCGCCCTCATAGCTGCTCTGTAGACTGTTTGGACAAGTGCAGTTAGCGAGCGCCTATGGAGGTCGGCACGGTGCTCGATTGGGTGGTGCGTGGCCAGCACCACGGCCAGCCCGCCTTCGTCATCCCCAGTAGCGATGTTGACACACTGCCGTCAGCACTGCTCATTTATGGCCGAGATGACATAGGAGAGGCCCAGGCCAGGTTCTCACATGACTCACCACGTATGGTTGCCGTGGTCAGGAATCAAACTTGGGTTGTCGCTGGGCTTCTTAGCGCAGCTGCCCACTATTACACTACACATGCTTGGTCGTGTGATGACGTTACCCCCTCTAAACCTCCACGTGCCCTCCAGGGGGTTAGCGACACGCATCGAGATGCGAGAGTCCTACGTGTCTCCCGACATCTCTGGCAAAAATTAATTCAAACGCTTCTGTTTCCGTGCTGTTGAAATTAAACTAAAATAAATCGCTGAAGATTTTTTTAATTCAGTTTTTTGGCACACCCTACCAATCAAATATGCAGTTCAAACTGCAGCCCATACGTAAATCTTTAACAGCGGATGATAACCGTACGGACGTCCTGTATGTTAATTTGCGCGTGTGCATATTGTACACGTGCGTGCGTGTCCGCATACAATGCTCATATCACACAGACATGTAAAGGTACGTGCACATATATTGAGCGAAGGATATGTTTTATAGGAAGTGCTTATTGTGTTAAATCCACCACTGGCCTGCTCTATTTATTACACGGGCTGCTGCCCGCTCGCCGCTGCAGTCTGTTCCACCCCGCGGGAACGAAGACAAAAAGCCCGCCGTGCCGTCGCGGACAAGGCACGAGTTGTACTGTGCCCAAAGCACACCCACAATGCACGGCATGAATTGAAAAGTAAATATCTCCCGCAAATCATTCCAATCGGGAAAATACGAAGGGGCCGGCCAATCGACCCAACGCAGGATGCTCCCAAGAGGCTTTATTGGGTAGAGGAATTAACAATTTCAAAATGTAACTAAAATATCTACCACTAGAGCACAATATAGGACTCCTCGCGTCGACGCAGGGACCTGCCACTGCATCCGTTCAGCGATCTATTGCAATGCACTACCTCACTGCAGAATAATGTATATTATTTTTACTACTAATACCTTAGAAAACTAATAACCATATTCTCTAGATTATAACACTTTTCCCGCTGTACGGGCGTCGAGTCTTTGTTTGGTCATGTTTATTTATCAGGTGGCCCCGTGCATCTTCACACTTCCCAGGTGAGGGTCAATGCACACATCCTTCCTTCTGGGTGCAAGAGAACGCAGACCTCGGCGAGCAAGGTTAGGGGTGGCTCATGCAAAGGGGATTGGGTTAATGAAGACACCCTCCCCCCACCCCCCCCCCGTTCGAAGCAACGCGCTGCGGCAAGCCCGGGGTAAAACTAACCTGAGATGTAGCGTGCTCCAATAAGCATTATCATACTGGCCAGAATATAAGACCCGAAGGGGATGCTCGTAAACATGTTAAGCTCTTCTGTGTGGCCGAGCCGGCGTATTGGGAGCAGGGGTTGGTACGACAGAGAGGGGAGGGGGGGGGGGGAAATTGCGCGGATCAACGTCAGGAAATCGACGTGTTAACAAAATCAAGCTCTTCGACGTCACGCCACAGCGCGGTCCCGTCGTGCGCCGCACGGGAGGTGGCACCTTCGCACGCCCGCGTGGGATTCGGTGAAATCCGGCAGATTGAGATTCCAGGTTCCCACCCCCCCGGTCGTATTTGCAGGGTCAGCGCCGTAGCTCTCCAACGTGCTCTCGGGTCACGCCCGGATGTCGTTGGGCGCAAAGTGCCCGCTCGTCGCTCCCGTTTGCTTTTATTCAAGTAGCCTCCCGGCTTCCCTGCACGCGCAGCGAAACGCGCCGTGCCGAACTACACGCGCGGTTAGAACCGGGCAACGCATCGGAGAGAGCCGCCACAAGCACGGTCGCCAACGCCGGCGAAGGTCGCCAACCTTGACCTCGCCAAGGCCTTGGGGGAGGGGACTCGGCTGGCCGCGGTGCTTCAGCCAATCGCGTTCAATCAGAGCGGGAAAGCACATGCGGAGTAGTTGGCCATCGCCTGCCACCCACAGGCGCAATGCGCCTTTACGCGAGGTTAGTAGCCATTCTGATGCTCATTGGTTAACAGCACTAAACCGCCTGCTTAACCCGATTCCGATTCTGTTCCGATGACGTACGTGTACGTAACTTTATCGGTACCGAGCCTCCCACGAGGCTACGCCAGAGGGCGTGGCACAGTTTGGCGCCAGCCTATCATAGAGTGCGGTCGTGTCGCTACGGTTCTCTGCGGCGAGTACAATGTCTTTAAAAACAACAGTGCTACGCCACTCTTTCAATAAAATTAACGTTGCCTCCAATGTGTTAATGGCGCCATGTGATGAGACGAGGAGACGTGCTCACAGAAAAACGGTGCGTCGCCTGGGAAGGTGATAACGTAGAACTAGTTCCGACAGCACTTCTAAGTGTGACCTCTTATACAAACACAAAAAATTATATTTTCCCTTTGGATAGATGTACATCACATGGCAGCCAAAATGAAATTAAAATTTTGTTCAAAGCTCAGAGCTGTAATTTTTGCAAATGTAAGTGAACCACCAAGTCTGTTGTTTTGTTCAGGCATTAGTGACCAGGGCAAGACCACCAACTCTTCATACTTGGAAACCCGGCTTAAATAAAAATGCCCATCACATAGATTCGAATCCAGGGCCTTAGTGGCAGTAGCTCAGCACTGCGACTTCAAATGACCCGGCCACCTCCAATTTTAGGCAATCAATTTAACCCAAGACTGATATCGCATTCGGGCACACGCCTATACACTGCACATATATCTGCATTCACAAACGTGTAAACTTGTAGAGTCAACTCTGTCTCTGCTATCGTCGGCAGATTAACCGTACGTATGAATATTAAGGAATAAAAAACGTGGTGTTGTTGTTCCACGATCATCGGCGCTCTGTGCGCGGCGTGCCGCTCTTGGCACGAGCCGCTCCTCACTTGCGACCAATTCCTTTAACCAACGATGAAAATGGACGACGCATTCTACACGTCCGCACGCCCATGTGTTGTGCTGTAACCCTCCACACACCGTTCCCCCCACCCCAGAAACACTCGATTGTTGAGTGCGTAGGCGTTACACACACACACGGGCGGAGAGATGAGAAGGGCAGGGATGTCAGCCTCACCGTTGCTGTTCATCGGAGGATCCCCGATCTCCCAGCCCATGGAGCACTGCACCGCTTTCTTCCAGCGCATGTATCGCACTTGGCTCTCTGCGAGAGGCGCAAAAGCTCATGACTACGCATCGCAAACACATTCACGCCAGTGGACCCATGTTGTGAAGACAGCGTCCTTGGCCTTTAACATCCGACAGTTCGGCAAAGCATTAATTCCAGCGAACATGACTCCGCTGATGAGACAATTAATGTAGAAATCGGTCCTGGGTCCAGAATTTTCCTGCACCGAAACCCCGCGGCCCAGAAGGCCGCGGGACCAATGGGTTGTGTAAAAAATATTTGTACTTTTATGGGAACACACTTTGACTTAAGCACCCTTGCAAAAAAAAACCTGGCAGCTCAATGTGCCCTCACCTACTTTTAAATAACAGACATGAATCAATAAAGTGACATGGGGTTTCTTTGTCTCCCCAGTGCTGATGTTTGCACACCACACCAGGTACTCATTTAAGGCCCAGTCAAACTAGGGGAGGTCCAGGACCAGTTCAGTCATTATCAATGACGTTGGCCAATAACAGGAATTAAACTCGGGTTGCCGAATTACTAGCGCAGCCCACTAACCACTACACTACCACTCCGCCCGCACAGAGCCAAAGATCTCCAACATAGCCTTTAACAGACCGTTGGGGCAAGTACTGTTTTGCAAGAGCCTTTTAATGCCCGCACGGCTGACGAGGGTGTGGGTGGCCAGCACCACACGCCTGACCAACTACACCACCGCTCCCCCTAGACACGCTCGCTCACACACTCACCCTCGGTGTTGATCTGCGGCTCGAAGCGCTCCACGGTGACGGCCGTGAGGTCGTCGGCCTCCAGGCTCCACACCCCGACGCCCTCCGCCGAGCCGGCCGCCATCGCCGCGCCCAGCGCCGTCGTCTCCGGCATCGTCGGGCGAACTGCGCCGGCGATGAGAATAGTAGGAAGCCACTGGAGCTGTGCACTTTTAAATCCAGATTGGAAAAACTAATTTCTTTACAACTGTTCATCTTTTCAGAACATAGATGGACTCGTCCTTCTAAATAAACTGCCAAATCGCTGCGCGTGGCGCTGACGTTTTTTTTATAAATAAATAGATACACCGTTTAAAAATAAATAAATTTAATGCAAACCGACACACCTGATGACGACCGTTTGTGTTGTGGTCGAAACGTCGCGAGAATTTTTCCTGTTTTATATGTATTTTCTTATTTTATTGTTTCCCTTCAACGTGACTTTACCGAAAGAGCTAAGAAAATAACTGCTCATCGTGTTTAGTTTGTTGTCCTTCCCCCGCACGTCCGATTATCGCAGTTGGCTACGTGCGGTGCGAAAGAAGTTCAACGTGCATAAATACATGACGATAATGATGGGAAAAATAACAACAATAACAAACAAAAATCACGCGCACGTCTGCGTTCCGTGAAGCGCCCTTCTAACAGGCGTTTCTCCTCGGAAGTCCTAAATTAGCGACGACACCGGCGGCGCTTGCGCGGGCCGTGCAGCGAGCGGGATGTCCGCACGCCGCCGCGAGACGATGGGGCTCGGGAAAGTGGCTCTCTATGCATGTCGAGTTGAGGGCTTGTGGGGTCGAAGGGAGCGGGGGGGGAGGGGGGAGTTGCGTAACCGCACCGACAGGGATGCTCAGGATGTCGGCCTGCAGTTGCATGAGCACGCGGTTCACCGTCATCCCGCCGTCCACCTGCAGCGCCGTCAGCACGTAGCCGCTGTCCTGGTTCATGGCGTCTATGAGCTGCGGGGGGGGGGGGTAGGGGGCAAGCGGGCGGAGGGTGGTGGTGAAACGGCGACGCGACAGTACGGCGTGAGCGGCCATGTTGTCTGTACGTACGTTGAACTTTTTCTTACATCTAGATTGAGAACTCATTTCTTTAGGAGCTCGCTGCCGTTTGGGATTAGTTTGTCGTCCTTCCCCCGCACCTCAGATGAGCAGAGTGCAAAACAAGTTCAACATACGCGCACAACTACATACGCAGTCCTCGTCGTCAAACGGCACAGGCCTCGCTGGAGAGACGATCCGTGGGTACGACTATTCCTCACGGCATACATTAACACTCGGCTACGTTTCATCGGCCGTCGCTGCGCGCCCTCACCTCTCGCGTCTGGAAGCAGATGGCCTCGAGCGCGGCGAAGGCGATGTGGGACTTGTTCGTGAACTGCGTGAGGCCGCAGATGATTCTGCGAAAGACAACGGCAGCAAGGGATCCACGATGAAAGCGACGGGGTCACGACGGGGTCACGACGGGGTCACGACGGGGTCACGCGGCGATCAGCATCGCAGAAGCATGGTCAACAAAACCCCGTGATCTACGTGGCATAGGGAGGCCTTCATCTGGCAGTGGATTGACAAAGGACTGTAAATTATGACGAGTGACCAATTATAGAAGTAAGAAATATGTTGCACATACAAGAAGACAACACGACGATAATGATGATGCAGGCAGTGATGAGAAGGAAACTGGCACCATTTGGACGCATGTGAAGTAGGATGGACAACAACAGGGGAATTTAAAGTGTCTTGTTGTTCGGGGGAAACAAGGAAGGAACCGAAAAGAGACCTAAAAGAGAATGGCTTGATGACGACATCATAAGAGATTGGTGCCAGAGAGATGTGGCCACTACTTGAGCCATATTGGCACAACAGAGGAAAGTGGAAACAAATGACAAAATGTGCAGTAGACACCTACTAGGGGCCATCTGCCCATGGATCGTGACGACTCTCCTGTTGGTACTCCTATCTGTTAGAGGTACCGAGCCAGAGGTGGGCGTATAACTATGGTTAATGGACGCAAAATGATTCATTACTAATGTTGAATTTTATATGGCCAACGGAGCGACCAAAATGGGACAAACGAAACCGAACGGGCTAGTTAAAAACAATCGTACAAAAAGCTACAGCTCGAATAAATTAGCGCGCTAAATCGTGGTACTTTCATCGAATCGGTGGGGCGTGGAGTGGGGGGCGAGGGGGGGGGGGTGAGTGGGGGCGAGGCAGGGAGGGAGTGGGGGGTGCAGAGTGACGTGAGCAGCGCTAACCCGCGAGCGCTGGGTTCCCAGTAGGGCGCGTACAGCCCGGAAAACGCCGGAACAAAATAGCATCCGTACGACGTCCCGGCTAGCTGCGCCATCTTCTCTGTTTGGGGCGAGAGACAAGAGGAGCGGCAGGGCGCGGTGAGAGCCGTCGCCAAACCACGCACACAGCGCACCATCGCCTTGGTTACGCACCAATGGTTTTATTGTTATTGTTGTGGTGTACAAACTGTGCTCGTTCATCAGTCGATCAAAAGTTGAAATCAAGTCAAACTGCCTCATTACGAGCACGCGGCGCGACACTCATATCCAAAGGTGGCTATGAGACAGTGGAAATTCCACATTCCTATGACAGGGACAGGCATTACAGAGACACTACTAATTTTATATGCATACATAAAAATTAGCACTACGATCGGCAACCATTATATATCTTTTTTTTATTGGTGTTCATTTCATGGGACAACTGCTCATCACTTTCATCATTTAAATGTATTGGGTTTCATTTTATTGGCCTCAGAGGGTTGGATTGGCCGAGCCAATCCGCCAATAAACATTTGACCTCGCGACCTTCCCAATGGCCAAGCCGTGTGCTTGGGACACCAACCACCACCTTGACGAGATTATATTATTTCTATTTTTAACCCCCCCCCACCACCTGCCACTAAATCCTTTCGTTTTACAGTTACGGCAGTTCAGAGGGTCAAAGATTCAGGGTTCCGTCCCTTACCGATGTCTGCGGCGGTCTGTATGATGCCCAGGTTGTCTCGCAGCCACGAGACCATCGCTCCGGCGATCGCCACCGATCCCTGGGCGGAAATAACGCACGCGCGCGTGAAGGCACTGTGCATCAGTCTCACACAGGGTTGCAACCACCTTATCCTGGGGAATCTTCTGGAAATATATTAAAAAAGGCATCGATTTAGTTTGTCAGTTGCATAATAACAAAACACACCACTCGTGGAAATCGCGGAGAGGTCCCTGCTTCTCGACCCGGCTGCGGCGGTAATCCGTCTCGGCCGCTAAATCGTCGCGAATGTCGGCGTTTTGCACAAATACACTTTCCTTTAAAATCTCTATTTCATGAAAACAAAAATGTTCTGACGGCTCTGACGCCCGTTGCCTTGGTGCATTTGTAGTTTTTACATCGGCTCAGAAGACGATGCCTTTACAGGCAGTTCTCCCCTCTCTGTAACTGCGAGCTATCCTTCCCACTGATAAGTTTCCTGTTTATTTTGATATTTCTGAGGACACGGAAAAACTGAGGTTGCAGAGGGAGAAAGTGCGTATTTTTTCATTACCAGGTAAGGGCTACCAAGCTATATATGCAGCTCTTTTTCAGAAGCGACCTGGCCACCAAAGATGACAGCCCATTCAAGTGGCTTATCACGTGGAAAATTGATAGCAGCTAAATGCTCTAAAGCAGTGTTCTTCACTTATTTCAGAGAGGGGGGGGGGCACTTTCTACGACAAGACATCATCTGTGCGAGGCCCGCCACACATTTTGAATCCAGCGAGGGCCGCCAGTAGTCCCCGCGGGCCATGCAACAAACAACACCGCTCTCACGCGCACGTCGATTCCACACGCGGATGGGGGTGTGGGGGACAAAAATCTGTGATGAGAGCGAGCCGAGCGAGGGGTGGGGGACAGCGTGCGCTACCTCCAGAGCGTAGTACGTGGGCTTGTCCCGCCCCAGCTTGTAGGCCACGGTCGTCAACAGGCCATGTTCCGAGAGCACCGGCTGACCAAGGGGAATCGCAGACAACGCGGCGAGCTTTCCTCAGCGAATCGTCGGGACCCGTGACATTTTCGCAATAACGCGAGTCTGATACATACGTTTCTTTTTCAGTCCTTTGCAGTTGTGTTTCCTTGCCTCAATCGTAAGGACTGCATTGGTTTAAAAGCGGAGTGAGGTTTAATTTGGCTCGCAGCAACGAGCAAACTTACATTTAAACGTGGCCCATCACAGATTTTAATAAAGGTTCATTTATTTCAGTTTAAGGTGTACGAAACAATCAAGGGGAGAGTCTCAGGCACGTGCTTTATCACTTTACTGGACATCTCTCTTCGCTCTTCTCTATACATCTCCCTCCCTCCATTCTCTCTCATTCACGGCACGCTTTAGGCGACGTCGCTGCAGGCGGAATTTTAAAACAAAAATAAAAGCCAAAGGCAGAGTGCGCGCATCTCACCTTTGTCCCCGTGTTATGCAAAAGGAAACAGCCCGTTCCGTACCTAAAGGCAAAACAACAATCATCCATTACGCACATCAGTAGAATGCCCTCATCATGCATAGCATTCTGCCTTTTATCACAGCGACACTGAAGATGCATCGAGATAAACACGAGTGGGCTCGTGATGATCTTCAGGCACTTTGAAACACGCCTTTGAATTTGTACCGAGTTTAATTCTTGAGTTTGGCTGCAAGAATCGTATTTGAATAGGCTTAACCCCTTCCAGCAATTATACAGGAGGTGTTAAGGTATTCAAACACCAAATTGATTGGTGTGATTGACCTACACCAGAGACAGCCTTCTTAATGGCCTTGACTCAACGGTATTAGACCAAGAGAATTCTAATTTTAAAACATTAATAGCCCGTTTAATATATATTTGGACAAAGATTCCCCATCTGGCATTTAACAGACTGTTGGGGCAAGTTCTGCAAGCGAGCACCTATTGAAGGCCAACACGGCACACGAGGGGGTGGGTGGCCAGCACCACGCTCGGCAGCCTTTGTCTCCACAGTGGCGATGTTTACTACACACCGCACCAGGTACTCATTTGAGGCCGAGTCGACCTAGGGGAGAGGCTCAGGACCAGTTCAGATAATCGTCACTGGTGTTGGTGGCTGTGAGCGGGATTCGAACTCGTGTCACCTGGGTTCGTAGCGCAGGGCATGAACCGCTGCACCATCGCTCCTGCATATTATACATAGGTAGAAATTATTTTACACCGTACGTAGCCAACCGTGGCTAACCGCACATATACAGAAGTCAATTTCTGCTTCTGTTTAATCAGTATATAACTTTGGTTTTCAAAATATTTCTTCGCAACAATACGATCTAATAGGGCAGCCGTCTAAGTGAGAGTAGTTTTCCACAATCGCTGACGATCACGGCTCATCCCCTTCAGTCCCCCCCGCCCCCCGTGCCCCAATGGAGGGGGCGCTTCAGGAGGCGACCGCGGAGTCCTCCGACGGACGAGCGCTCGCCGCTTGCGCGTCGTCCGCGACGGAGGAGCGCACGCACGCGCTCACGTGTTTTTGGCTTGTCCGTCGCTCAGGCACATCTGTCCAACCAGCGCTGCGGATTGGTCACCCAGGCACTGCCCACGCAACAACAAAAAAAAAACGCAGAAAAATATTAAATCGCCCAATTTAAAACGAAGGACACCGGGCGTGGTGGTGGCCACCCACCCACCCCCCCTCGTGTGCCGTGCCGGCCTTCAATAGGTGTTCGCTTACAGAACTTGCCCCAACAGTCTGGTCAAGGGCTACATGGGGAATCTTTGTCTGGCTGTGACAAGACGGAGAGTCCAATCGGAACGCTCGCGAAGCAGCGCAAATCCACCAACCGCACTCGTCAGAAAACAGCCGGCGCGAAGCAGAAATCGCAGAACTACTTCGAGTTCCTTTCAAGTGATCTCAGATTCACTCGCTCAGGCTGCAGCACTTTCTCGCTCAGCCCGCTCTCTGAGTAATGTTCGTTAAATTTAAATGTTTCATTCTCAGAGCTGGACTGTTGGCCACCTCTGAAAAATGCAGCCATTGGTGACCAGGCTGAGACCACCAACTGTTTGCACTTGAGAACTCCGTTTAATCAGAATAGCATCATTTTTAAGAATATATTTTTATTTATTTATCGTGAACTGTGAAGCTCTTATTTAACCGATGTCCAGTAGGGGCACGGGGTCAGAACGTTACAACAACAAAAATACAAAAACACGACAGGATTGCAAAGTTCAGGGAATGTAATGTAAATGCATGTGGTGACTGCTCAAAACCAAGGATCTCAGCATTGCCAGCTCAGTGCTCTTCAACTCTGAGCCACCCAGCCAGCCGCCTCTTCGCCCAGTGTTCGGATTTAAGCTTACGAGGTCTCACGCTCGTCAACAACACTGCCTTAAAAAAAATCATCTAAGGACCATTGCCTGAAACGTTGCCGATTGCATGCACGTGGATATGTTAAGGCAGTGTTCCCGATGAGCGTGTGGAGGTTTTTTGTTGTTGCTATTTCTACATACGCAAGTCGAACTTCTTCCGCGCCGTACGTCACCAACCGTGCTACGAACGATGCCGCATCGGCACCCACTGCCGACGCGACATCGCCACGCAATTTTTGTCGCGCCGAAGGACGTTGGACGAGAACACGAGGCTTACACAACGCCGTTCCCAGTGCAGGATACTCACCCCAGATATGGGCAGTCCGCTGAGAGGGCCAGATTTCTGGAACACAAATTAACCGCCGCATTAGGGAACGATTTAACAATCAATTTGCCATCAAACAAAAGCAAACGGATGCGGTGCACAAATTTGATTGTGAAACACAAAACACGGAGCAACAGCACTTTCACAAATGCAAACTTACTGTGGTCGGATCGAGTTTCTAGAGCCAAATTTGCGCATGCGTGCCGCAGAGGGAAATGAATGGACAAAAAAAGCATGCTCATTCCAAGAGATCATCATCATCATCATTGGCATCATCATCATCACGAACCGGCATCAACACTCATCTTCAAAACTATCCGTGTGTTTTGTATCCGAAAAGCTACGTGTGTTTTGTTAACTTCAGCCAATAACTCAAATCGCAGTTGGTCGCGACGGTTGTACTGAGCAAGCAACCGCTGTACTAGGTTGGTGAAACGTCACCACTCATGGCCGAGTTTGTTCACAGTGCAAGGCACGTTTGAAAAAAAACTGGGCCACTCCACATAACGCTGACACACAAAACATAGTAATTTTCATTAATGCGTTTGTGTATATATCCATGAAAATTTTATAGCGTTTTCCCATTTGGTGGCGCGCGCACACACACACAGCGAATGTTTTGACACGGTGCCAGCAATATTAAATGGGCCTATAAAAAGGGGGCTTCAGAACCAGTGAACCCGACCGATCTTTTAAGACTTCACAACAGCGCCGTAACCAAAAGTTGTAAACGTAAAAAAATATCTGCGCTTATCGCCCTCAAAAGCCACTAAAGGGTCGCAAAACAAAAGCGCTCCGTTGTTATCGGCGAGTTCTACGCGAGAGGGCAAAACCACACGGGAGGGCTCGGAGGAGCGCAAGGAGAGGAAAAGGGAGACGGAGACCGAGAAGACGAGACCGGTGGCGGCGTTCGTACCAGGAGGCCGTAGATTTCGGAGGAGCTGCGAACCCTGGGCAGGATGTCGCTGGGAATTTCAAAGAACCTGTGACACGGACGGAGGGGCGGAGGGAAACGACACCCAGCCAGTGAAGCGACACACACACACACTGGCCAGATCGATAGCGGCCGGTGATGTCCAACACACCATCGTGTATACGCAACTCAATAGCGAAGAGAGCGGCAACCTCCATCACCGTTCTGCAGTCCGCCACCTCCCCGCCCCACCTCCCCTCTCCCGGCCCCTCACCTTCACAGACCCGCACTGACCAGCGTAGTGAAGTATGATCAAATATCCCTCATGGCCCATAAGGCGTGGGGGGGGGGGAACCCTCATCCGGCAGTGGATTTGTAAACAGGTTGCAGTTGTACATGACCCGAGTGAAAACATCTTACTTGCCGAGATGAGTGTGCCGTGACACAAAAAAGACGGGGATGCCCCGTATAGCCTTAACAGATTGTTGGGCCAAGTGCTGTTAGCGAACACCTACGAAGGCCGGAATGGTACACGAGGGAGTGGGTGGCCAGCACCACGCGCGACCGTGTTTGTCTCTCCAGTGGCGATGTTTACACACCGCACCAGGTACTTATTTTAGGCCGAGTCGACCTAGGGGAGGCCCAGAAACGGTTCAGATAATCATCACTGGTGTGCGGCCGTGAGCGGGAATCGAACTCGGGTCGCCAGATTTGTAGCGCAGCGAGCTAACCGTTACACTACCGCTCCCCTCACCCACACACACACGTCCACCGACAAATCTGAGTCAGGGGTGGAAATTCTACTTCCGCCAAATCTCTCCTCACGGAACAACTGCTGTGGACTACTCACCAAGTGGCATGGCATTTCTGCACCCAGAGGGATGATGGGCTTGGAAGGACCATCGAACAAAATTTCAACACCCGTTAATTTCAATACCCACCGATTACGCTCTGGCCTTAAAGTGAAAATAAAAGAGGCGACGTTTCGGGTAATGGCCCTTGTCATGGCCTATGAATCGTGATCTGTACGAAGAGCTCGACGCCACTTTGTGGGAAGCCAACAGTGGGACATAAAGAAAATGGACTTTGTCCCGGAAACGTGGATTTTTACTAATACCGCTGCGAAATGGAAATCTGCAATTAAAAGTTAAAGCATTAACAGAATCATCATCATCATCATCCATTCAGCCTATGACCTACATCCCTTCAACTGCACACAAGTGCGTGGGTGAAGGGTGAACAAAGGTGAGTGTGTGGGGAGCAGGGCACTGGGGGTGCACGGGGCTGACGAGACGATTCTCATCCTGCCCCTGGCAAACTGCCCGGCGGCTCCCTCGCCCATCCCTTCACGTCAAAACTAACGGCGAGTCACATTCATGATGCGCGCTCAACGTACAAAACAACCCGCCACGTCATTTGAAGGAGGACACATACCCACATTTGTTTTTTTTTTATTTTGGAGACGGTTACCTACACATACCGAGCTAGACATTATAAAGAAGTTGGAAGAATGAACACGAAGAGGAAAAAAAAAACTTAGAAAAATGGACCGCTAGAGTATGTATTTATACTGGAGGAATCCGATTAACTGTAAAGCTCCTTTTTTACCGATGTCAAGTACAGGAAAGGAGGCACCATCAGAGAAACACCACCAAACAGCAATGCAGCAAAAGCAAATAGCAACACGAGTGGAAGGCGAGAGGCCATGGACGACGAGAAAGAAGTGGACTGACGGAGCTGAGATAGGAGGCACTGTGAAGCAGAGGATTGAGTGGACTGACGAGGCTGAGACGTAGGAGGCACTGACGGAGAGCAATGACGTGGGAACGATGGTGTGGGACCACACTCCTCCTCCGTATTCGTCAAATTAAGTCCCTTCCTCCAGTCAAGTCCCATTTACAAACCGTGTTGTCTACTACGGCCTTTAATTAAATTGACCTTGCTTTGGTTGTGCTATGTTTGTTTCATTGTGAGGGACAATACATTAGTTTTTTCTATTGTCTTGTACAGGGTTGCTGGATAAAGTTTTGCACGAATGACGCGATATAACATTTATTTATTACGATGATTATTATGATTAAACATCTGCAACAAATGAGAAGCGACAATTGGCAGCTGTTGCTGTTGACAGATGTTTGTGGACCCAGCGGCCTTCGCAAAGAGGCTGGAAGGGAAGAAGAGACCTACGCTTTGCTGACTGAGGTACAAATTTACAGTTTATTAAGAGACTCTCAAGACTGATGTCGGCAGCACTAGGCGGAGCAGCACGGACAGCACCAGCACTTGCAGTATCACAAACAGCATCAGCACGAGCACGAACACTAGCAGCAGCACCAGCATTAGCAGCAGGACGAGCAGCAGCAACACGAGCACAAGCAGCACTAGTACAAGCAGCAGCACTATCAGCAGCACCAGTAGCACGACTATCACAAGTATCAGCACTAGGCCTAGTGGCAGCACAAGTAGCACCACTAGGCCTAGCGGCAGCACTAGCACCAGCAGCACAAGTAGCAGCACTAGCACCAGCAGCACAAGTAGCACCACTATGCCTAGCGGCAGCACTAGCACCAGCAGCACAAGTAGTAGCACTAGGCCTAGCGGCAGCACAAGCACCAGCAGCACAAGCAGCACCACTAGGCCTAGCGGCAGCACTAGCACCAGCAGCACAAGTCGCTGCACTAGGCCTAGCGGCAGCACTAGCACCGGCAGCACAAGTCGCTGCACTAGGCCTAGCGGCAGCACTAGCACCGGCAGCGCCACGGGCACAAGCAGAAAGCGGCTCCACGAGCAGCAGCTCACCGGCACAGCTCGGGGTCCCACTCCTGCGTGTGGATGTTGAAGAGCATCGTGCGGCTGGCGTTGGTCACGTCGGTGCAGTGCACCCCGCCGTGCTTGCCTCCTGTCAGATTCTGCCCAAGCGGAAGGCAGAGGCCGGCGGCAGGTCGGGGCGTCGTTCGCCGTCGACAAACAAACGGCCACGAGGCGCCGCGGGGGACACGAGGCCCCCCTCGTCGCCCACCGCGCCGTGTGGGCTACGTACTCGGCGGCTAGTCGCGTCGCGCACTCGCTTGCCGCACTCTCGCTTGCGACGCGGATCCCCAATCTGCTGGTGATGGACCGCATCCGTACTCTAAACAATTTTTTATTTTAACAGGTAAGGTCCCACTGAGCTGTATAGTTCTTCATCAGAAGTGACCTGGCCACCAATGATAGCTCAACGAAGTGGCTTGTCATCACGTGGAAATAGCAGTCAAATACACTTAAAACGCGCAATGTTGATTCTAAACGTGGAGGGAAAAACCGGAGAAAATGTCACGCGACCATGGGGGAGAGAGACATGCAAACTCCAAATTTACAGGCTTCAGGGTCGGTATCGAACCCACGACCTCCTGCATACCAGACGAGGTAGTTAACATCTCGTCACCACCGTGCCCAGGTATCCAACCATCAGACTTGCATACACGGTGACATCTCGTGGGGAATAAACATGCAATGCATATCGCGAACGCCAGGCATCCTCGCAGCAGCAGCTTATGGATTAGCCATTGAATAAAGACTGTCGCTGCATCGCGCACTTTCAGATGCACCTTCTGCGGCCATATGGAACGCTCTTCTTTCCTATACGAGCTATGCACTCTTAAATCTAAATTAAAAACTTAATTTATTTATAAGTGCTTTTTGTATTTAGTTTGTTGTCCTTCCCCGCACCTCTGGTGAGCACAGCTAGCTACGTACTGTACGAAAGAAGTTCACCATACATATGTATGTGTGTGTGCAGTATATAACGATGGATGATTTGCACCGGGCTCGAACCGCAAACCTCCGCACGGCGGCCGCGTCACACCGGCCGCGTCACACCAGCCGCGTCACACCGGCCGCGTCACACCGGCCGCGTCACACCGGCCGCGTCACACCGGCCGCGTCACACCGGCCGCGTCACACCGGCCGCGTCACACCGGCCGCGTCACACCGGCCGCGTCACACCGGCCGCGTCACACCGGCCGCGTCACACCGGCCGCGTCACACCGTACCCAAATGAGCCACGAATCAACGGTGCCGAAAAGGGCTCGCCCCTCCGCCACGGCCAGCTTCACGGCATCCGAGTTGTCGAGCAGCCAGCGCATCTTCACCGCGCTGAAGTAGGTGCTGATCGGGAGTCCTGTTTTTTTCTGCACGACACGGGGCGTGGGGGCACGTGCGAACCTCTCGATTAGCACGTACGGTGCGCGCAAAGAAGTGCAGCACACGTGTGTGTACGTACGCGAGTGCGTGCGGGCATGCGCCCTCACCTTGTAATAGTTTTTGTTTTGGCCGGGCGTGCATTTGATGAGCCTCTCCACTGTGGTCTGAGTGCGAAGGTCCAGCCATACTGTGCATGCGACGGATCGTGAATGGACAATTAAACACAACGCCGCTGGCAGATTAGGCAGCCGCAACACCAAATAAACAAGGCCAAACTCTCTATAACCTGGGGCACAGATAAACAGATTTCTCCGAAATCTAGCAGGCATGGTGTGGGCATTAATGTTTTTTGTCCAGGTTTCACCGAGGCTTAATGCTTCCATTTGCAAGACAAATGCAGGTAAATGCAAAACGGGAATGTGAGGAATTCACGATACCCTCCCGATAGCCCATACGAGTTGTTCTGCCAGACTGACCGGCATACAGATTGGTTAAAAAAAAAGTGCCGACATCGGAGTCTGTAACAACTTCGGTGGTGGCGCACCGGTTCGCACAACGTTCTACAAAATCCAATGACCCGAGTTCACGTGCGGGCCGAGGGTAACATCAGTGGGCGAGTGATATCCGAACCTGGTCCTTTGGCCTGTCGTTCACTACGCCACAGCGAATAGTCTGGCGATGTACGGTCAAACAGCCCCCCCCCCCCCCCGTGACAGACACGAGCTTGAGCCAAATTGACACAAGGGGGGAAAGTAAGCGGGGCCATCGCTAGCGGGGATGATGGCCGGTGGCCCGAGACCAACCGTCGATTGGCAGCGATAGGATGGAAACGAGCCCGAGAGAGCACGTCCGCCGCGGAGGCACGAAATAAACTCCGGTTAAGAGTCGTATGTTAACTTGTTCAGACACCGAATAGAGTGTATTATAAAAATATATTATTTTAACTTGTTCAAAATACGATGCCGGAGGAGCGGTGGGTGGTGGGGGACGCGTGCGGGGGGGGGGGGCAGCGGCCGTACCGATGGCATTGTGCAGCGGCTCTCCCGAGAGGCGGTCCCACACGATGGTCGTCTCCCGCTGGTTGCAGATCCCGATCGCTGCGCCATTCACAAACACGGAAATTTCACAAACCCGAAAGCGTTGGCAACACCTCTCCCAAGCGACGTTTTTCTTTATTCTTCTTCCAGACTCAACTGTGCTTGTGTAACCGATTTCATTCCTGGATTTCCACCCTCCTCACCGCCTGCTGATTCTATCATCGTTGTGGTATCGGCGACAAACGCGTGCCGCAACATGACAACGGCACATTCTTTGGGTCGAGCGATTGCGCCCGGGTTTTTTTTTTTCCACCCAAAACGTCAAGCCAGTCGTGCTATCGGCGAACGTTTGTCAGCAGACGGGGAAGCCGGTCGGGGATCTCCCGCAGAGTACCTGTTCACCTTTCGTGTTGAAGAACGGCCCACAAAAGCGTATAATACGGCACCCACTTTGAAATCCCTTCAAATGACCTCTGGTGCACGCACAGTAAGGGGGCCAGAACTGTAAAAAAGGGGGCCAGAATTTTAACGAATGGCTTTTAATCAATTTCAGATTTGCATTGCTGTAGAATTGCCCTAAAGCACCAAGCAAGTTGTTTGCATGTGCTGTGCACAAACGAGCATTGACGGCACTAATATCTCCATTGGTGCCTCCAAGACAGCAGTGGACTTTCAAACTTTTATACTAAAGGTGCCAGTCAGTCACTCTATAACACAGTACCACAGAACTGTTCCTCATTTGTATCAATCCCCGATGGGCGACGGGCGAAAAATGAACTCGTAACTTTCTAATCGCGGATCTTGTAATCTAACCGCAACGTCAACCGGCCCAGATCGTGAACAGCTGTCCGAGCAGAAAATGGGGGGAACGATCACAATTGGGATTTACGGTTATTGAAACAGCGATGACATGGATAGGACGAGTGGACACCAAAGCCGAAACTTTTATTCATTCACATTTCTGACACGTTGTACAACACACACACACGGGCCCCACATTACAGGACACACGCGTCCTTATTTACAGAGCTCATTGTTGGCATGTGACAGCGTTGGCTGAGCTTGCCCGCACGAGGTGGGAAAATAGAAGGCAGGGTGGGGAGGCCTTTTAGATGATTTGGCTATGATACATTTTCACGTGATGAGCTATCATTTGTGTCCAGGTGGCTTCGAAAAAATAAGTTAATACCCGAGTGGGCTTTGCCTGTTAAGATAAAAAAATATTGCTTAGTTTTATTTGTATATATATATTTTTAAGTGATTTGTTTACCTTTCCTACACTTGCCACTTCTATTGTGTTTTTGCAATGTTTGTTCTAACGTTCTGACCCCGTGCCCCAATTGGAGACATCTGTGAAAAAGAGCTTCACAGCAGGTCATCGGATTCCTCCTCCAGTCCAAATAAATACCCTGGGGTTCTGATTCCGGCTGGGGCTGGGTTGACCTCACGCGAATGTCAAGGTGAGCTCCCTGGCGACACCAGGCCTGGCGGGGAGGGGGGGGGGGATCTCTAACGTGTGACGGGCGACATTCAAACCGGGCTCATCACGAATGGGTCCCCCGCCGCGTCATGGAGGCGAACCTTTGAGCAGGGAGATGTCGATGTCGAGCTGTCCCAGCTTTCTGCACGTCTGCTCGATGCACTCGTGGACCGAGGAGAGGAGCTGGTGAGGGTCCTGCTCCACCCACCTGTCACACAAAGATCCCCCCCCCCGTGTAGCCTTACACAGACTGTTGGGGCAAGTGCTGTTAGCGAGCAGCACCGATGAAAGCCAGTGGGTGGCCAGCACCACGCCCGGCTGCTTTTGTGTCCCCAGTGGCGATGTTTACACACCGCACCAGGCACTCGTTTGAAGCGGAGTCAACCTAGGCGAGGCCCAGGACTGATTTCAGATAATCGTCACTGGTGTTGTTCGTGAGCGAGAATTGAACTCGGGTCGCTGGGTTCGTAGCGCAGTGCGCTAAACGCTACCGCTCCCACACACGGACACACCGACATTCACATACCCAACACTCGTTAGCTCAACACTCGGACTCCACCAGCTTAAGTGACGAGCAAGAAAAATCTGCACGGGGTCCCTTGTCTCATTTCAGTCTCATGGTACCATGTTGCAGGCCGGTGCTGTAGACACACAGGGCCACGCAGGGAAAGCTGCCACTGGGGGAGGCGGGGGGTGCTAGACTGCAGTAGGATGTCGGAAGACTTGAGATGACATGTGACCGTATGGTGCATTGGAGTTACACCAACTGTAAATACAAATCCTTATCCAGGTCGATAGCAAGCGGTGAACCAAGGGACACCGAGCCACGTTTGTGACGGCCTTTGGTGAAGTTTGTCCGATCCAGGGAACTGAATGTGTGGTGGAGGGATTGGTGTACTTGGTAGACTGCATGAGGCAGTACAGCAAACACGATTCTGAGCTCCTGTGTGTTCGAGTTGTACCGTGCGTTGCTCGGAGTGATGTCCGACGTTTCACTGTGTGCCAGAAGCTTCTTCAGATACCAAATAGCGTGTTTTATGCATAAAAACTAATTTTACCAAAAACGATTAATCATTAACCCAGAAAACATGGAAAGTTGGACCAACGGTTCGAACCACATTTCAACGTTGGCCCAACGCTGGAATGGTTGGCTACGTACAGTGCGAAACCCGAAAGCACACGGGAGTTGTAAAGAGGGCATCGCAAAAAACAAAAACTCCACGCAAGTTGTAAACGCGTTTCTGGCGTTGTGGTCCACGTATAAAAAGTAACAGCGTCATCATCCCGCGGGCAATTGTTTGTATCCTCTGCGGGGAGCTCCGGTTTCATACTTGCAAAGATACACATTCAAAAAAGGGATTTAGGCAAACAAACCATGCACGATCCTATTTAAGGCCGACATTATCCTTGGTAAGCCGACGATTACCACCAACGTTACACTACGTATATACGGCAAGGGGTATAAGAGGGGAAGGGAGACCAACAGCTCACGTGCACAGATCTATGCGTTGCTCACTCACCCCTCTTTCGGGAAGATTTGCGTTATCTCCACTTGATGGTGGCTCAAAAGCTCAGCAGTCTTCGCATTGAAAACCTGCAGAGACGGGAGGATACGAGCGCATCGTCAGTCAAAGTGGATCCTCCAGTTCAAATTGTGACCTCGGCGACGGACTGACTAAATGGTACCAAAACGGTAGTCGATGGAGCTGATGGGTCAAGTAGACTCTCCCAGCATGGATTGATATGTTAAAGCCCTTCCGGCTGCAAATTGCACGGTCTCACTAATGCAGCCTCTGGATGAAATTCCAAATGTTAATCCATCCATTACCACCTCCAATAACCAAGATAGTGTGTGTGTGTGTATATAGACAAAGCGTCTTTTGACAGAGGATGTTGCAAGTATTCTCATGAAGGGAAATTGGATATATATTGGCATTGAAACGTAAAACCCAACAAACCAGACGAAATCATCTATGTTTTCCACTCGAGCTATAACAAACGCACTGCGGGATGAGGGCCTGCTTACGCCGTTCGGGGGCGGGAGGGGTTAATTGACCACATGGCCAGTGCGGGTCAGTAGAGGTGGGGCACATTAAATGTTTGGGAGTGCTTTATGCTTTCAATCTGAGAAACAACTTTTTCCCCAATATAAAAGGCAAATGTAAACGTGAATTATTAATCCGCGACCTAATTATTTCCAGGAATGCTTCTGCCTCTGGGGAATAACTATGCAAATAAATCCACCTTCATCTATATCAGTGTGCGCGCACCTTCATCTATATCAGTGTGCGCGCGTGCAAGTGAATACGCGAGCCAATTTCACAACAGTCGCCTGCCCTGCACAGCATTACAAACAACAGACTGCTGCTTTTAACAACACTACGTTTACACACAGCATTTGACACATCTGGCATGAACCCAAACGGCGAGGACAAAGTCCAAACAGGGTGGAACCCTCGCAGGGGTCAAACAACAATCAGGCCAAAGTCAGTTCACAATAATAAATGGGACGGGCTGGTAAATGCGTACGTACGTTCAACTTCTTTCGCACCACAGTACGTAGCCAACCGTGCTAAATCGGAGGTGCGGGGGAAAGACAAACTAAACACAAAAAGTAGTTCTAAAGAAGCGAGCTTTCAAAAGGATGGACGATGTCGAAGTTCGCAACGACCCCGTGACATTCACGCGACCTTCGTTTTCCACAGAGCCTGCCCATTTGGTGTAGATGCTCCAGTTCTAAATGTGACCTCGGCTATGGACTTGGCGGACGCGCAGACGCGCGCGCCGAACGATGAAGCTCTACCTCATATCCACAATCGGAATCTTTATTTATACTGGGAGGAATCCGAGGAGCTATGAAGCTCTTTTTTTCAAAAGTTGTCCACAGATCGGGGCGGGTCAGAAAGTAACAACAACAACCAACACAAAAACACGATGGGAATTGCTTTTGTTTTGCCACGGCACTTTCCTTATTGTTACACCTTGGCTTTGCAAGTCACGGTCACGTCGAAGCCCCGAGACTGCTCGCTCGCACCTCCGGTGAAGGAAGGGCCTCTAACACCGAGCGGATCTCGCGAGCCCCCTCTAAATAGCCAGTTTCTGCCTACTCGTCCGCGCAAGCCAGACGTGTTGGAAGCAGTGGTAGTATCCACACTTTACCCCACCACACCCGACTTGTGCAGCTGGGTGGACGACAGAGGCTGGGGCATTAAAACATTTTTTTTTTTACCATTGCTTCAACTGCCGCACCAGGAGATCGAACCGGTGGAAATCTCCGTTGCAACTGCAGTGTTGCTAATCATTATACCCATGGCAGCATTTTTCTGCAAGTGAAAACTGTCTTCATCAAGGTCCCTTTGTGCTACTGTAAACATGGCCTGTAGAACCTGCAAAGAGATTTCGCAATAATCTACTGAGGCTCGTGTGTTTTTTCTCTATTAAGTACTTCTTGCAAACACGAACGGTGCGAGCGGTAGAATTCGTGAAAATGTGCCAATGATCCGTTGGCATCCGTGCGCACCGGCACAAATAGCAACATTTCTCCACGCATTTGTTGAGAACACTGCCTATAAGGCACAAGTATAGGGTGCCCTTTCTTCCTAGCAGCGAGATAGAGGCTGGAGAGACGAGTGAATGATAGCGGGAGGACTGCACTACAATATACCATGGGGGGGGGGGGGGCGGGCAACGATGAAATATTTTTTTTCCTAACAAAAAATATATTAAAATCACAATGTTATCAGGGCCCCACTGTATTGTACAGTCTCCAACTAGGAATAATTCCACCTACCTGGCCTCTCTCTGTCTCTGATATTAAGGGGTATTGCCTAAAACGTCATCTATTATATATTGTCCTATTTAGCTCGGCGTTATTAACTGAATGTACGTATTGTGAATGCTCACAAAAAAAAACTCCACACAGTCAGGAATGAGTCATTAATGTTACACAAGCACACGTGCTTTTGGGATGACACATTAACGTCAAGATTAAGGGGAAAGTTCGAACAAAAAACACTGTTGCCACAGGGTGGGTAAAACATTACACACATCTTTAACATGTAATGGGTAAGCTGACACAGCATAGATTGCTGTGGCAAAGTCTGCAGTTGCCTAATCGAATGAGCACTTTTCAAAGCCTCGTTCAACAAGTTTGAGATGGGAGAGTCGTCTCTTTTTTTTTAGCAGAGTATTGCACAATAGCTTTTTTTTTAAAGCCCTTTAGAATTATTGGTGTGCGGAGTCCATAAACGCGGTCGAAACAACACAAAAAATAATGCAGAATAGACTACAGTCCAGGCTGTTCACGTCATCATCATCAGCCATGGGCAATCCACTGCTGCATGATGGGTGGGTCTCTCTCAAATCTACTGCCATGGGAGTCCAGTGACTTCACCTCGGCCTGAATCAATGCCTCGTGTCCGTCTCTATCACCAATCAGTCAGTGCATGGGATGAGCTCATTATAGAACAGTGGGATGATGGCTCATAAATGGGATCAGTCTGGACTGTAGAAAGAGGAAAATAACTCTTGCCAATCCATTCCCGTTACACAATTGTGCCACCCCCAGGGTTGTTTTATGTGTGTTTGCTGCTGCTAATTGCACGTCAGAGGTGGTGAACAGACTTCATTGTGCACGACATAGAAGCAAAAAATAAAACCCCACGCGACAATTCCACTGTGCAGGCTGCACTTGGCAAACTTCTCAACCTATTGGGATTAATACAGTCGCACAAAGTTCGCACAATGCAATACCTGCACGGGCAATGCAATACTTTCACACGCAATGAAAAGCATGCAATGCAGTATTTGCATGCGCAATAAAAAGTGAGCAATGCAGTATTTGCATGCACAATATAAATTGTACAACACAGTACTTGCATGTACAATACAAAGTATGTGCAATACACTCGTTGTTGCATACACAGCTGCGAGTGTGGTACAGTGAGAGAAAAAAGTATTTGATCCCCTGCTGACTTTGTACGTTTGCCCACTGACAAAGAAATGATCAGTCTATCATTTCAATGGTAGGTTTACTTGAACAGTGAGAGACAGAATAACAACAACAAAATCCGGAAAAACGCATGTCAAAAATGCTATAAATTGATCTACATTTTTATTAGGGAAATAAGTATTTGACCCCCTCTCAATCAGAAAGATGTTTGGCTCCCAGGTGTCTTTTATACAGGTAACGAGCTGAGATTAAGAGCACACTCTTAAAGGGAGTGCTCCTAATCTCAGCTTGTTACCTGTATAAAAGACACCGGTCCACAAGCAATCAATCAATTAGATTCCAAACTCTCCACCATGGCCAAGACCAAAGAGCTCTCCAAGGATGTCAGGGACAAGATTGTAGACCTACACAAGGCTGGAATGAGCTACAAAACCATTGCCAAGCAGCTTGGTGAGAAGGTAACAACAGTTGGTGCGATTATTCGCAAATGGAAGAAACACAAAAGAAGTGTCAATCTCCGTCGGCCTGGGGCTCCATGCAAGATCTCACCTCGTGGAGTTGCAATGATCATGAGAACGGTGAGGAATCAGCCCAGAACTACACGGGAGGATCTTGTCAATGATCTCAAGGCAGCTGGGATCATAGTCACCAAGAAAACAATTAGTAACACACTACGCCGTGAAGGACTGAAATCCTGCAATGCCCGCAAGGTCTCCCTGCTCAAGAAAGCACATATACATGCCCGTCTGAAGTTTGCCAATGAACATCTGAATGATTCAGAGGACAACTGGGTGAAAGTGTTGTGGTCAGATGAGACCAAAATGGATCTCTTTGGCATCAACTCAACTCGCCGTGTTTGGAGGAGGAGGAATGCTGCCTATGACCCCAAGAACACCATCCCCACCGTCAAACATGGAGGTGGAAACATTATGCTTTGGGGGTGTTTTTCTGCTCAGGGAACAGGAAAACTTCACCGCATAAAAGGGACGATGGACGGGGCCATGTATCGTCAAATCTTGGGTGAGAACCTCCTTCCCTCAGCCAGGGCATTGAAAATGGGTCGTGGATGGGTATTCCAGCATGACAATGACCCAAAACACACGGCCAAGGCAACAAAGGAGTGGCTCAAGAAGAAGCACATTAAGGTCTTGGAGTGGCCTAGCCAGTCTCCAGACCTTAATCCCATAGAAAATCTGTGGAGGGAGCTGAAGGTTGTAGTTGCCAAACGTCAGCCTCGAAACCTTAATGACTTGGAGAAGATCTGCAAAGAGCAGTGGGCCAAAATCCCTCCTGAGATGTGTGCAAACCTGGTGGCCAACTACAAGAAACGTCTGACCTCTGTGATTGCCAACAAGGGTTTTGCCACCAGGTACTAAGTCATGTTTTGCAGAGGGGTCAAATACTTTTTTCCCCTCATTAAAATGCAAATCAATTTATAAAAATTTTGAGATGCATTTTTCTAGATTTTGTTGTTGTTATTCTGTCTCTCACTGCTCAAATAAACCTGCCATTAAAATGATAGACTGATTATTTCTTTGTCAGTGGGAAAACGTACAAAATCAGCAGGAGATCAATACTTTTTTTCCCCTCACTGTAGGTAACTGGCTGGCTGAATCTTTCAACAAACAAATCGTAGCAATGAGTCGTTGGCTCATCAAAGTCCCAATGACTTAACGATTGCCACGCAAATTCACGCAACATACATTTGTGTTTGTGCTGCAGTGGTTAATGATCAGAAACATTGACACGGGGGAGGGAGATTAATAAGTGTGCATACCTCTCAGCCTCTTATCAGTGCCCTTATCAGTGCCCTTATAAAGCGCAACGTTCATCCTACAAAGTCCCATCACAAGGCAGAAACACACAGACTAAACACATGTCTTGTGCCCCTATTGAAACGGCCGTACGCCGTATGGACCTGCAAACTCACTTTCCCCGTACAAGACTACGGGGTAGAACCCGTGTGGGTTGACATGCGTGGATGCGCAAACGAATCGTGTTGGACAGACACGCGTGGCACGTTGTTAGTCAGACGCGAGCCTTGCCTGGCTTTTACATTTATTTTCCCACGTTAGTGACTGGGCACAATATATTTGCCGATCAGATTGATGGTTCTGTTTAAAAAAAGAAAATCACGCGTCTTCAATTCAACTGGCATGCACACGATAGAGTCTCGATCGGGGAAATTTATTTTTTAGTGATTGTATTACATTTCTTATGCTTTGCGCTCGTTTGTATTGCTTTGTTGTTGTAACGGTGTTTACCCACCCCTACCTGGACATCCGTGAAAGAGCTTCATAGCTCATCGGATTTCTCCAGGATAAAGACATTCTGATCAGATTCTGAATGCACGTTAATAAGCGAGCTCAATTCCTGCTCACAGCAACTTACGTCGTGCGCGTGATTGCTCCTCGCTACTCGCGACTACCATGCCCCCTTTTGCTTGCCGTCTTTAACGAATCTTTGTCAATCCACTGCTGGATGAAGAGTTCACCACGCCGTCTTGGTAACGGGGAAGGAGGGGGGTTAGAGATCAGACCATACTTTACCGCAGGAAGGAATGCGTTGCTCTGGCAAGGAATGCGTTGCTCTGGACCCGGTACAGATCGTCAACTCGGCCACTCAAGTCAGGATGTGTCCGGGATAACAATGCGGGAGCAAGCGGCGTGGGTTTATTATAGCACAGCGCACTAACCGCTGCGCCACCGCTCCACCACCACCACCATCTACCCTCCCTCTCTCTCTCTGGGGTTGTGTCAATCAAATGCCCTCTCTAGCCCACGTGTGGACAACCATCATCCGTCGCTGTCCAGTCGACGCGGTGCCAACGTAATAACGCATTGGCGTATACACGAACCGAGATATACCCCATGCATTCGCACACAAAGATCCCCCCGTGTAGCCTCTAACAGACCGTTGGGGCAAGTGCTACGACGGCCGGCAACGGCGCACGCGGGGTATGGTGGCCAACACGATGCCCGGCCGCCTTTGTCTCCCCAGTGCGGATGTTCTACACACGGCGCCGCCACAAAGGCACTCAGCCTCGGCACCGATTCAGACGTTGGCCGTGAGCGGGTACTGTATCGAGCCCGCCGGGCTTGCTCACGCAGCGCGCCCAACCACTGCGCCACCGCTCCCCCCACGCATTAGCAGGACAGAGGAACCGGTTTCGCCGTCAATTCATTGCCCCACGCCCGATCCCCCACGACGCGCGTAACGTCGAGCCGACGTGCGGCTTGCCGCCGCGTGTACAGTGCTAAGGTCATAAGGCCTTAGCACTGTACACAACGGGGGGGGGCGAGACCCTCGCCGCACGCCCCGACGGCCACTGCGAGTCTCACCGCCTCGGCACCCGGGCAGGATCAATCCACTGCTGGAATGGAGGCCTACAAATAAATGCGTGCGCACATCGCGCACACAACACGTGGTGACCAGAGGGCTCCATCCCCGCCCCCCCTTCCGTCATATCAGCAAACCACCTGGTGCAACGCTTTCAGAGAGCAATAATTCACGATGACAACCGGTAGCTGGGGGAGCTTGCGGCTTTGTAGTGGCGGCTTTCAGTCACTTCTGCCGTCTCATCAGCAGGCCAGCGTGGCCTTCCCCCGCAACAAAACAAGTCACAATTACCAGAAATCGAGTTGAACTCGTTCCTTGATCCACGGCTCCCACCAGCGGACCCAGCTGCAGTCTGTCCGTCGCTGCCATTGTAATCAAACCCTGCGGAGATTTAGCCCCACGCCCACCCGCAAGCTGCCCGCTCGACACCGGCGACGACGAGCGAGCAAAGTGGAGGCAGGCCGGCGCTAAGGCAGCGGCTTAATAGTGCAGGGCGCGGGGTGACATCACCACTGGACGTGGCCACGTGGAGGAGAGGGAGGGGGGCAATGGGGCGTGACGTCACCGAGCGCGTGCACCCCCTCGGCGGGCGTGGTTAGAGTTGAAAGTGGGGGGGGTTGAGAGCGGCGAGCGGTGATTGGCTCGCTTGGGGGCGTCGCCCAAAACGTAGCGATGTGATTGGTGTAAAACTCGCGGGAAAGACTTCACCACGTGTTTGAAAGGCACCAGGGCGGAACTTGTCCGTGTTGTGAATATTCGTGACGACATTGGAGCGGGGAGCGGTGGTGCAATGGTTGCGATGTGAACCCGATGACCCGTTGGGTCCGATCGCAGGCCACGGTTAATGTCAGATACTGTGCCCCCGCACTCACCCACCTCCTTCAACTCGTAATGACCAGCGTGGTGAAGTATGGTCAACGGCAAACACCGTTCGCCGCGAAGTGGCGCCGGCGTCCCCACGGCGCTTGTTGCCATGCCTGGTGCACTTTATGTCAAAGAACCGCATTGACCGACGCGACGCCAGAGGATGCACGTATCCAGCAGTGGATTGATACTGGCTGCTGCTGCTGCTGATGAACTGAATCGCGATGGGGCGACCAGTGAATTATCACAGCCGTAATAAACAGCGCTGCAATAAAGACATATCTAGCCACTGATTTTTTTTTATTTCGCCAAAGAACGTGGAAGTACGATGCTAATGTTTGTTTTAGCCCTGCTTTGACAGTGGTGTATAAGTTCCAAAAAAACTCAACGCATTCGTAAATAACATTGCCCTAGAGCAGGGGTCGGTCAGTAACCTGCACCACTTTGGCTACCCCCCCACCCCCACTTGCGGGCAGCAGACGTTTTTTTTTGTTTTATTCAGTCTGAAATATATTTAACGTAAAGGTAATTGATTAAATATGTCAGGGAATGGGTCACTATGAAATCGGCTTGGTGACAGAAAAATGTACAACAGTCAAACTGCATTGTTAAAGAATAACTAAGGGGGAGGGGGTGAACTAAATTCAGAATGTTTGTCATCTGCTGCGTACCTGCTGCTGTGTTTGTGTAGCTGCGCGTGTGATGCGGCTCTCGAACTATTTTGGTCAAAGACAGAATGGCTCTTCTTCTTTGAAAGGTTGCCGACCCCTGCCCTAGAGGAAACATATATAATAAGCGACGTTCACTAGGCGTGCTCCTTGTGCTCTCACCGATCTCGTGGTACCAGACCATGGGATGTGATCTCATGGGAAACATGACCTGGCCCATGCGTCCTCATCACCTCAATTTCCACATCACCAGCGACTCTGCCACCACGTGCTATCTATCTCATTGCCGTCTGAAGGTCGCCCGTATTCGGATGCGGGCCCGTAAAATTGATTGATCGCAACGGCAGTGTTCGGTTCACCGCTCTTTTAATTGTGCCGTTCTCAGCAGCACACGTGTGCTGAACTTTCCACGTGCCACGCAAAGCCACGGGGGAACTGGCGCGCACGAGGGCATTCACTGGCAGCTTAAGCGATCGGTCACGTGGCGTTGTGCCACCCGGTGGTGTCAGGATGCCCGACGTTGGCATGCAGAGTGGACTGGCGGTTGGCAACGTACGGTGTGGAAGCAAGCCCAACATACATCTTAAGAATTGAATTGCGGCGCCGTCTTTGTTTAAGGGATGTTACGCTCGTTGCAGATGACGTACAGAATCAGAATCTTTATTTATCCGTAAATTGTTGTCCTGGCAGAAATGAATAGATAAAATGCAGCACAGTAAGTGATGTACTATAAAAGCTTAAGCGGTCACGAAACAGATCCAGGTGCCATGGGGTTGACTTACTGAGATGACTGGCAGTTGCTCGCAGCACTGCCGTAGACAGCCCTCACTCGATGGCATTGTGGCCCACTCACCCACGTAGGCCAGGCGTCTAGGAAGAGGTGGCAGTTACCCACATTTGACCCCCTCGGGTTTCAACTGCCGCTCCGAGAGGTCAAACCGGCGACACTTGTACAAGGCAAAGCCCAGCGTGCTAACAATTACACCATGCGGGCAATATGCACCCCCCCCCCCTCCCCCGGTACACTCCATCCGGTATACCTTTTGCAATGGCTGTGGCTACTGGTAACGGGCCGACTCCAGTCTACATGCGACCGGGACATTTCTGAGTGAAAATGGAAGGCTCCAGTCACCGTGCATCTGTGCAGTCGACTGGAAACCACAGTGGAAGGGAGTCATTCCCACGTATTTGCCTTTCGCGTCACACTGTACTACGCGAGGCGGATTACTTTTTACACTGATGAAGGGGGTTGTGTAAACCTTACTTGTATGTCAGTTTAACACGTAGGCTTTCGCGACCAATATTATTCATAATAAAGGTTTTTGGGTTAGATCGCGTTTATTTATAAATGTGTCGTAACCCTCCACCACCCGACACGGCCAATCAGCAAAAAAAGTGTCACGTTGACAAAAGACAAATAATTCACTACTTCAGCCCACCGGTGTGTTGAAGAGTTAATCCATATTTACAGTTTGAGTACGACGTTTCGCTGGTAAATACATCCAGCATCATCAAGCAATTCGCCAGAATGGTAAAGCCCTCGCTTGCTCCCGGTTTTATATAGAGCAGCCGGGTGACGTCATCACTTAACTCATATCAGGTGCAGTGATTAGAGGCGGAGGGGGGGGTATTGTAATTATATAATCGATTAGTAATCAGTCATTGGTTATGATTAGTAATGAGTTGGAGATTAGTAATTCTTTAAATGTAATGTGTATTATTTAATAATACGCTTCCAGGCCGCACTAAGCCGGTAGCTGTCAGAGCGATTAAAGTTATTCTTGTTCCTCTCAATTTCAATGGATTCTCTAATTAGTCTTTGCCAGTAATAATTAGTTTTACACACCACTGCAACATTGTCAAAATCAATTGAGTGTCCTTGTTGACAAGCATGTTCTGCCACTGCCGACAGTTGTGTTTGAGATAATTTAATATTTCTCTGATGTTCTTTTAGTCTTACGCTGATGTTACGTCCCGTCTGCTCAATGTAGCAGCTTCCACATGAACAATTAATCCGATATACACCTTCTGTTGATAGTTTAGGTAATGCATCTTTAGTGCGATCTAACCCAAAAACCTTTATTATGAATTATTATGAACTTACTTGTATGTGTTTTGGCACGAGACTTAAAGCAATTTAGAGCAACTAGGCTGACCTTATCAAACGAGTAAGACCAATCTATCTGCAGGTCCTGATTGTTGGAGGCCCGATTTCATAGTTTTTTAAAAACAAGTATATTTGGATTCGACAGCCTTCAGACTCTACAGATGCTAAAATTGTGGCAGGCCTCGGTTAAAAAATATAAAATCGTTCAAATATGTTTTGCTAACCCCAAATTGAGGGACCCACAAACAAATATTTACGTATTTCTAAACATTCGCTTTGTTCCTAACCCTTTTAGATCATTATAATCTACACTAGCCAGTAACAATTCCCTGTAGTATGCATTAGATATTCACATACTCATTCGTTGTTGTGGGGCATGATGTATAAAATGTAAATATCAGCCACACTTTGTTGTGTATCAACAAACAAAATCTGTTTATTCTCCATCAGCAGCATGTGTGTAAAGGGAGCGAACTTTGGTTTGGGTCCGATGGGTCGGCACATTGAGTCGAGAAGTTGTTCAACAAACACTGCTGGATTACCATCTGATATTCCTGAGATCACTGAAAATAAACTACGGGCTCCCGTTAAACGGGAAAACAAATCAACGCAGTACACAATATCCAATGATGAGTTGCCATGTTGCATTACACATACTGTTTGCTTGTGAAGGAATAACGCATAGAGCATAAGCAGAACTCCGTACTGTATCGAACGGTGTAAGCTATTCTGGCTGTGACAAAGATGTTCTTTGTTGTTATTATGATGATGAATAAAGAGCGTCTGTTAGCCAGTGTTTAGAGATGGGGATTGGCGGATCGTACAGTGGTTATGATGTATTGCGAGACTCTCTAACTGGCACGGATGTGAGGTGGCCAGCAGATGGTAGTACAACACAATAATTGTTTTAATCTGAAGACATCGATGGTTTAAGGTCCATAATGGTACGATAACAATAAAACACATTGCTACTACCCTTCATCAATTCACTCCTCAATGCAGGCCTCCCCCACGCTGTATCGGCCGTGGGGGGTTGATTGATCATAATTCATCTGGCTGGTCACCAATGCCGATTGGTGAAGGGCCATAGAGAGAGCGTATTGAGTATTACTCATTGGTTTTTTCGGTAAAGTATTCCTACAAATGTGACTTTGCCGAAAAAACCAATGAGTAATTTTATGCAGTCACGAAAGCTTTAATACGTATTGAGTATTGTTTTACTCTTAATTACTCTAATGCACCGGTGTGCTGTACTGGTAGTGAATGTCAATGTTCTGTTCACGTGACAAACCTTACTAGTTAGCTGTGTCGGGTGGTGGCGGGTTTAACGACACATTTATATATTTACACGAACTAAGGGGCCGTCCATAAATGACGTCACGCACCTGGGGGGAGGGGGGGTCAGACATTTGTGACGATGTGTGACGAGGGGGGTGGGTGAGAAGTGTGACGTCACATCAAAATGCGCAACTTTAAATAAATATAGACAACACGTTCTACCTAATTATATATTTTTAAATAAATGTTTTCTCCTACAACATCAGAGTGCAGCGCCGCGTTAAATACGCACTACAATGACAATAGTTTAAAGCGATTTGAAGCATGTTTTTTTTTGGGGGGGGGGTGGTCTGACTTTTTGTGACGTCATATTTGAGGGGGGGTCTGACTTTTTGTGACGCTGTGTGACGTCGGGGGGGGGTCAAAAATCGTCCAAAATCGCGTGACGTCATTTATGGACGGCCCCTATAAACCCCAAAACAAGATCTGTATTATATTTATGCAAACCGACACACCTGATGATGACCGTTTGAGTTATGGTCGAAACGTCGTGAGAATTTTTTATTGTTTTATATATATTTTGTTATTTTGTTGTTTCTCTTCAACGTGACTTTACCGAAA